GATTAGGTCTATTATTAGAGCAGTACTAATATCATAGTAGATCATAAATCTACAAGTCCACGTAATGTGCTGAGTATGAGGTGTGACTTCGACATTAGCTAGTTTGTCACATCATTCACGTCTAACTCGAGAAGGCCTCCAATCATTTCGACATAGATCATCTACGTTGGCGATCTACAGAGTTAAACAAGAGGGTTAATTCTATTTTAGTAGACTATCACAAATACCAAAGGGTCACAGAAAGGAGGCACCATATAATCATAGCTATCCACGAATCAACAGCAGTAAGGAGATTCATATTATAATAAGTACTTTTTTGCGTATGTTTAAAACATCATTACTGTTGGTCGCCAGTGTAGACGATCTGTGTCAAAGAACTAGGGGTCTACTTGAGTAAGACGGAAATGGTGTGACCAACAGGCTACTGCCAGAGTCAAAACTCATAGTAAGCATATAACGCAAATTACAATTTCGTCTTATCCAGGTACCATGACCACCTTGATGACCATACAAAGAACACGTAGTTATTATAGAAATGCATATGTAAAAGTAGGTACAAGCAACAGAGCAAGATCATCAACACATGAGACAGTACATGACAGTAATAAATTGATGCGGATTGGTTGTAAATGACCTTGAAGTGAGTTGGCAAAGTGCTCGATATGGAGTGATGGACTGTCGGAAAATTTGGCAACAGCCATGCCACTTCACTGACTTGACATTACTAATGTTTATAAAACTATATAAAAACTATTGAATCCAAACGTTGTTCAGCTGTAAAGGTTTTAAGCTCTACGTTTGCACGACTCCATAATGGAATAAAAGGAGAATCTACAAGTCCGATAATGTTCCCTTGTCCTTCAGTTTACTGAATTTGTATCTGTGGCTTATATTTCTAAGTCTAAGAAGCCTACAATACGCAATTAGCGTGGTGTATCAGATCTAGGAAGCGTTACCGATTTTTTTGAAGAGAAGGAGCTTAGTGTTAGACTAGATGCAGCCAAAACTGTATCACATGTACTTGAAGATGCTCTTGCCGATGACAAAACTAAGAGACAAAAACAAGTGTTGAAGATGAGAACCAAAAATGAAGGTATGTCACTCATTTTTCAAGAACTCGAAGTTAGAAAATTGATAGTGAAACAGTATCTAAAAGAACATCAGTACAAGTAACCATGAACAATAACTTGTAGGTGCCACAACCAATACTTATTTAAAGCAATGGTCAATACCTTTGAGAATTTGAGTCTCTTTTATGTACATCATTTGAGTAAATGAAAATGGTTTCTGTACGAAGTTCAATTGCTCCATCTGTTCCGATCACCATGACAACTGGTTATTCATATTTATGAAATGAGCCAGCGTCGGATACTACAAGGTTTGACACATATTAACCCTCTTTTTTAAATATAGACTTTGAGCAGTATCAAAAGTCTAGAACTAAATTTGTACAAACCGTCGCCGAGCTTGCTGTTCAGCCACAAAATATTGATGTTCTACAAAATTTAGGAGTATTATCTTTGTTGAGACCACTTTTACTTGATACGGTACCCACAATTCAACAAACTGCGGCTATCGCACTAGGACGTCTAGCTAATCATCGAAAAGATCTAGCTGAAGTTATTGTTAAGGGTGATATCCTACCTCAACTTGTTTATTCTCTAGCTCAACAGAACGTATTTAGTTTAATTCATTTATCTTATTTTATTAGAGATTTTATAAAAGAGCTGCCGCATTTGTACTGAAGTCGATTGCCAAACACTCCGCTGAACTATCACAAAGTATTGTAGACTGTGGAGCTTTGGATGCACTCACTGTTTGTTTGGAGGAATTCGATCCAGCTGTAAAAGAGGGTGCTGCATGTGCAATTGGATGTATAGCCAAACACTCAGTTGAGCTCTCTCAGGCGGTCGTAGATGCAGGTGCCATTCCACTGCTTGTTTTATGCATTCAAGAACCCGAAATAAGTCTTAAAAGAGCAAGTGCATGTACACTAGCCGAAATAACAAAACATACAGCTGACCTTGCCCAGTCGGTTGTTGACGGTGGAGCAATCGCTCATCTTGCACAGCTTGTACTAAATCAAGATTCGCTACTTAAGGTGAGACGGGTGATTTTTTACTAAAACTCTTTTAGCGCCAAGTATTTGCTGCTTTATCAACAATCGCTAAACATTCTGTGGACCTGGCGGAGCTAGTAGTTGAAGCCGAAATATTTCCAGCTGCACTGGTATGCCTTAAGGACGTGGATGAAGTTGTTAGGAAAAACTGCGGCAATCTGGTCAAGGAAATAGTCAAACATACACCAGAACTCAGTCAATTAATTGTTAACTGCGGCGGGATAGCTGCAATAGTTGACCAGATTGGGGATACTAAAGGATTTACATGTCTACCAGGTGTTATGGGTTTGGGATATATAGCTGCTCATTCTGAAACCTTAGCGATGGCTGTGATAGTTTCAAACGTAATTTGTTACATATGATAAACACTTCCATTAGGGGGTTTCACAATTAAAATGTGTACTCATAAAGGAATCGAGCGAAGAGATACAGGCTGCCGCAGCGTGGGCGCTTGGCCAGATTGGTCGCCATTCCCCTGAACATGCGAAAGCCATAGCTCAAGCCGACGTATTGCAGAATCTGTTGGAGTGCTATCTAAAACAAAATGCTTCAGAGGATCTTAAAACAAAGGTATCATAGTCACTCATAGTCACTTTTTCTTTTAGACCAAAAAGGCACTGAAGCTAATAATTCAGAAGTGTATTAATTTAGAGGCACTAGAACCTTTATTGCAAAAAGCACCTCCAAGTATCCTGAAACATGCAGTTGCGCAGTTTAGCAAAGTTCTGCCACATGATAGCAGAGCACGTCGGTGGTTTGTGGCATCTGGAGGTCTTAAAAAAATACAGGAGCTAAAGGACGACAACGAAGGCTTGTTGTCGGAGTACATTAATGCTATAAACAACTGCTATCCAGAAGAGGTTGTACGTTACTACTCCCCAGGTTATGCCGAAACATTAATGGAGCGTGTAGAAGCATACCAAATACCGATTTGAAGTCTAATTCTGAGTAAAGAAATAAAGACGGTTCAAAGATATTAACTATCATGAAGAAATCCATAATTTATAAAGCATTCAACATAATTTTACAAATAAAAGTTAGTGAGTAATATTAAAACATTATGAACTTGAATACCATAAAATGCTTAATATTTTATGTACTAAAAATATATCAATTAAATGAATCCCAGTTAATTGATTGTTAGTCTTATAAAAGAAATGTCATGTCAGGTAACTGACTAGTGGGATAAATCGACCCTCCTTCACCAACGAGAGTCATTTCACATAAAACTTAGATACCTTAAAAGTAAATGTCTTAATAATAGGAAATAAGGTGAGAGTGCAAAAGATTGTTTTTCATACTAACAGATCACTTCTCAGTAGTAATAGTATCTTATACAATGCCTGTGACATTCACTTCACTTATTTAAAATTTCGTCACAAGATGACCAATGAGGTTCATTTTATTGAAAAAACAATTACATGAGCAGAGAATGACAGAAAAAGTTAGCAAATGTAAACCACCACTCCTTGACTACATCGGTTCAGAAATGTAACTGTAATCTATTTGGGAATTTTATTACAGAAAGTCGGTGTATTTAAATAAAGCAACTTTTAAATTGGAAAAAGAATTATAAGTACGACACATAGGTATTTGATCGTGATATATTTTACGTGATCAAGATGAGAAATACTGATAAATTTACTATTACAACCAACCTCAAATTTTAGAAGGCTAATGAAGCAAGACGTTGCGTCCTGGCAGGCGGTAGCTGTGGATAATTTGTACATTTCTCAAGCACCTGTTGAAGACTGATAGAGTTACCAACTGCCTTGCTATACTACGCGCACCCTTGGGATTACTTACAGGGCCACTGGACGATACATGACCATTACCTAGAAAACACCTATAAGTAAATAATAGTCACTGGTTTCTACCTATTTCTGAAGCCCATGTCTTATGGTCATAAAACAAAAGACAATGGATTTCGAAGCAGTATATTGGTTTTTCGGTTGGCAGAAATCTCGCCTACCTCATAATTGATGTATGCTGGGAAAAGCCAAGCACGCCTTCAAAGTCCATGCTGAGATTTATTCAGATGAAAACCTACCACGACCAATGAGACACCCAAGATAATTGAAGTTATTCGCTAGGTCGGTAATTTCACTCTCTACCATCGATTTAGATGACAGATATTACTCCTGAAGCCACATTTTACATTTAGGGACGGAGAAACTCACTTCAACTATATGTAAACTGTTGATCAGTGTTCAAATAACTTTGGATTATCATATGTTCTTCATTAAACAGATAAGCGAGTCTCCTGTAGATGACCCTCTGGAAAGTTAGACGGAGTTATATGTAAAAGAAACTAAGTAAAAATGAGGGTAGTGGGTAGCTCTGATGAAATGCTGAGTACTTATTTTTGGAAAGGGATAAAAACAAAAGGTTATATAAAAAGGTATTCCGAGTATCTGATTATATTTCTAGAACAAATGATCTAAAGGAAAAGGCGTTAGCCTATTTAAAAACACGTTCCCAAGAGATACACGAACTTGGACTAGATGTAAACACAAACTCAAATATAACCAATTCTACATTAAACCGCTTAGCACGTTGACTTTGATAGTGCTATTCACTTATAAAAGTGTATTTCAAATAAATATCGTTCCACTAGCCAACATAATAACAAATAAATGATCAAAGTTTGAAATGTGAGAATATACAGTGAACCTATACAATTTTTTGCTACTATTTACCGATGGATTAAACTTAGCCACTTTGAATTATTAACAGAAACTCTAAATGTTTAGTTAATACATTTAGATGACGCTATTTAACGGCATAATATGTAATAAGCAAGAAATAATTACCCTACTACCATCATTCCCACTTTAATTCTTCAAATTGGGAAGTATCATAAAGTACAGCAAACACCGTATAAGAGTAAAGAAAGATATATTTGTGTATTTAAAAAAAATAATTATTAGTATTAATGGACAAATTTATCACTTTATATAAACAAAATAAATTACAGCTATGCACCCATAAGAACAATTTATACTAGGTAGGATATAGAAGTATTTGAGATACTATACAAATAGCATATACATATTCGCAAAATATTACATTTTTAATATAAGTAAAAGTTTTAAAAAATAAACCTATAAAAGTCAAAATATAAATATATATATAAAGAAAAAATGTCAAATATCTGATATACAAACGGGATATTTCAGTGAATCACTTAAATTATCTATCACAGAAGGATTTGAATGTACTAACTGGATTGGTATATCCCACACAAATTTTTCAGTTTTTAACTTAAGTGGAATTGTCCATACCGTACCGTAGGCGCTTTTTACACATGATTTACCTTGAAAATGATCTAACAAATCATTTTTACTACTATCAGATATTAAATCAAGCTCTAAGTGTAAACGCCATCGATAATCTAAGGAAATAAATGGACTAGTTAAACTAACAGAATGAAATTGTGGCGTTATATTTGTTGGAATAGGCAATGTAAAAGGTAATAACAGTTTAGATGTACAATATAATTTTATATCTGTCCATGTAGTATGTTGTGTAGAGCCTGAAATAAAAAATAACACGATTAAAGTAAAAATAAATCATGATGCATAGGATATAGAACGAATGAAAACAATTATAAGTACAAAAGAATAGCGGAGATAATATTAGGAACTATTTACTAATATATACATTGTGAGTTTTATAATCAACTACATGAACTAGCAACACAGAAGCAGTTGGATAGGTGAATCTATATAAGCCTGGATATTGTCACACTTTCACCAACATCACTTTTAACTTTCAATTTCGAAGGCAGCAATACCTTAAAAAGTTATTGAGTCTGCATCTTTAGCTGCTTCATGTGATCGGTTGTACATGTTGCTATACATACTATTCTATTAAACAGAATATGAAGTGTTTAGTTTATACTCTGATATTCTTAGAGAAAATGAGTTTATAATAATGTCCTAGGGTTCCCACTGTATTTTTTATTTTAAAGAGGTGTATGAAACTGTGAAAGAAGTATAGTTCCCAAGTTATGTTGGTTTTCCGTATACAACTGGTTTTATTATTTATTTAAACACATAAACATTGGTACAAGGAGGCACCAAATAGATATGCGCCACACAAATCATTCGCTTTTTGTGAGGGCTCGGATACTCCCCAGACCGAAGCAGGTGGTTTTCTTAGGGAGCCACACTCCGAGCCTTGGACCTAAAGGTCTGACCCACAAGGCGATGGATCATCGTGCGGAGATGCAGTCCTATAGTAGCCGGCGACCAACGATTGGTTCATACGCCATTTGTTCCCGCAGGATACTGGAGTCCACGTGCACCATTGGTTTGGAATCCGGTTAAAGCGCCGGACACTCGCTTTTCGTCCCCTCAATTTCGTAAACAACACCCCCGCCACGAGAAGGCAGTGAGTATGACTTCCCTGATGGAGGCTGAGTACGCGTGGCCGTGTGAGAGCATTTCGAGGGAGGGCGGGCCCACCCCTCTCGGCCATACCAGGGCATTTGGGGGCACAACTGGTTTCAACGTTCTAGTTTTAAAACGATTAACTCTCTGATAACGTTTTATTCAAACTAAAAATATTTGCGGAAAGCCAGAACAACTATCTGCATATCGCTGATACTGAACAGCCAGAAATTTGCTAATTTACTACCCGGTTGGAATTTCAAGGTACATATTCCCAGATTTGTTAGTAAACCAAAAGGCATATTTACTAAGCACTGACTCTGATAAAGTTTTAGTTAACCTCAATAAAATTAGCAACTCAAAATTTTACTAAAATGTTTAAAAATTCACTGATAATGATCATAGTCTACCAAGCTAGAAAGAACGGTTTTATACAGCTGCCTGTCAGTGTAATGATATTATGAAGGTGAACGACCGGTTGCAAATAAAACTTTTAGTTTTTTTCTTCATGCACAGTAGTTACGATGGATTATCACACATGGGCAATCAACAATACGTGCAGTTTCCATAGTTAAACTTACCTAAAGGTTGAAAATTTGTACATAAAGGTTGACCAATTTTGGTTAAAGGTAGACATCCCATAGAACAATTCTGAACCTCATTCCTTCTACTTTTAATTCTACAGTTTGGCAGGAGGAAAGGATTTTCTTGATGAAGCATAAATCTTTCCTCACTTTCAAGTCGTATTACACAACTAAGACATTTAACAACAGCTTCATTAAAGTCAAAATAACCCCGTACCATATCACCTAAGCAGTATAACGTACGTTGGAAAGATAACCGTCCAACATAACCACGTGGAGTAGAAATCACGAAGTTAGCTAAAAACAAATTACAAAATAGTATATTTGAAGTATGCAAACACGAGGAAAATAATCTTGAAAGCAAGTGGTTAATAATTTACACTGTTGACTGATATGAAGATTTTTGTTTCATCACTGTTGATATTTAAGACTAAAGTGATCGACCGCAACATGTTTGGAACGTATTAGTTGAATGTGTCTGTGTTGCAGTGTTAAAGACTTATGTTTAACAGCAACAACCGTTCATGTTGTTGATAGTTCCACGTCATATTTAGTAGAGCAGAAATTTAGTTGAGTCAGTTAAGATTGTTGTTTAACCCATAAAACGTTAATCATAGTTATGAAACGTATATCAAATGAAGTCCATTAAAGCCCAACAAAATACTGTTAAGTGAACAACGATTATTTTGCAAGTGTACAATAACTTCGGTATTTCTATATTGACTTTTGACAGTGAATCCAAGGTATCGATAACTAGGAATATCCTCCGAATAAATAAAGTTTTTCTGATATGTGATAAAAATCTGCTCTTAACTGATGACGTAGAACTGAGTAAATAAGTGATGGAGTATAAAATATCAAGTAAACAGCAGTGACACAAACTTTGTATTCAAATATTTATTATTTAGTGTGAAATATCCAGGACGAAATCCTATAGCAAAAATGTGACCAGCCATAAAGATCATGATAAACAACCACAATTAATATGGTTCACAGCGAATACACCCACCGGGTGGTGAACATGCTAACAGATTCATTAATTCCATATGTGAACTGGGATAGATATAAACTTCGTTTGATTTTTCTGGAGAATGATCTGAGCAATTCGAGTTTCCACACTGGGAAACATTATGAGACAAAGAGGAATATATTTGACCAACCGATTTATTAGTATGTGTTTCCGTATCTTCAAACAAAAAACTGTTGACTTGTTGTGATTGCAAGGAAAAGCCTCCATCAAAGCCAAAATTAAAACAAGAGTCTTTATCTCTGGTATCTGGAACCCAAAACGGATTTGACAAGTCGGGAGAGTATGTTTCTTTCTTGTCATCACATTCTTGAAGTCTTAAACTGTGATACATTATTGAAGAAGGTAAAACACGAAGAGGCAACTGAATAGTATGTGTCTTGATATCTGAGTTCAGATATTTTACTTGAACTGCCACAACCACCTTGTACGCGAACTTAAATAACGTGCCACGAATACTAGGTGAAAGATTATACGGTAGATAAGCACACAAATTGACTGTAAATTTGGAAACAAGAAATAAGAAGTGTTACAAAAAATGAGAACAAACAAGAATATGAGAAATGTTTACACATAAATCCAGAAAAATGAAGATGAGATGTACTCCATTTTTGGTTTATTTTCTACATTAATTTGGTTCTCTGTAATAAACTCATTATCTTTATTTGATTTAGTTACACTTACAGTCCAAATCGTCGTATATGGAAGTTATATTTCCTTATTTAAGAAAGTGTGATTGTTGTTTAAACTATAATACAAATGAATGTGTTTTTTCACTGATATTTATAGAATACGACAAATTGAAATGCTTGAAATGATACTTTCTATGTAACTCGATATTTTCCAATTTCGAAACGTACAAACAAAGATCTGGGTTTTTCAGACTATTTTACATGGAAGTGTAGTATAGGTAAAAAATTCATGCGAATAATTAGTGACCACATTCAGTGAACCAATAAATATCCCATAATTAGCATAACATTTAGATATAAAATGCTTTCCAAAACATTTTCAAGGACTCATCCTCTTCATTCTATACAATTTTATCTGCAGAAGACCAGAATATTCCAACTTTATTAAACTCAATCTACTAAAAAAACAGAAATTATAATTAAAATATCCTAATACATAAGAAAACAGAAGCGGGCTAATCTTTATGCATTAACTGACAGTGTGACCCAATTGGTTTTTCTTACTATTTAAATGGATTTTTGTCCTCAAAGATAATATGTTCTTTGGAGAAGTAGTTCTTATGAAGTCATGAAAAGAGAGGAATGAACTGTTTTTAATCCTAGGGATTTTACAAGGAGAGCTGTAAGTTTCAAAGCAACTACCACTTTGAAACAGCTTGCTGGTGATAGGACCAATGATTAAACAATGCTAAGAATAAAACATGATGTGAACTAGATAGTCATGTGATAAAACTGTATATCGAAGTAAACGGATACTTTTGTACATTATACGTATACAACAGCGACAACCTTGGAGTGATGATTGCCTAATGAGAATCTCTAGTAAACTTATACTGACTGGGGCAGTTACTATTTGAAATTTTGCCAAACTAAGGAAACCCATTGATAATCAGTGAAAAGAAGTGGACATAAGGAATCTTTATCATAACAGGGTTTCGAGGCTTAATTTGTAGTGCTAAGTTTCTGCTGGTCAATAGACTTACCAGCTATTTAGCATTTTAAATATGGTAAAAGGATTTAGAAAATGTGAGTGAAACGGCAGACAATACTACAAATCATTACCACTTGCAAAAATTATGTAAATAGACTTTTGAAATTTACCAGGTCCTTTGAGACTATTATCTGGGATAAATTTCACATGCATTGGGATGATACATATTAACTGACTTTTCGACTCCAATGTAGAAATGAATAATGATTCAGCATCGACTACATGAATTAGATTTCGGAAAAAAAAATTATTCATAAAAAATGTTACAAGACTTTTAAATTATTTGTACGAATTTGACTGGTCATTATATCAAATTTACAAGAAAAATTTAAAAGGGGACTGAGATACTCAGAAATAAATTTGGTTGTAATTTGAGGTCTAGACTAACTCCTTCACCAGGTACTTGGGTATGGGCCACACTTTGAAGGTTAACAATAATACATTTGTTAGGATGTGCAGAAAAATATAGCAATAATTATCATGTTAAGTCTAATGGTGGCCTGGGACTTTAAATGTACACTCCGTATTGGTCGATATTTATTTCACTTGTTAAATATTGTACAAATGTTGTTTTCTATTTTATGGTACGATGTGGTCTGGTTGGTTGGTATATAAATAGAGTATGTCTGAAATATAATGATTCATATCAAGAGGCTAAGACTTGCGTTCTGGATTCAACTGGCTGGGCTAGACAGGGAAGCGGAACCAATCAGAACCCTAGGCCAATTTTATGTGTCACTGAATCGATCGATAAAACGCTGCTCCATAATCAGCATTTACCCGTTACAACAACATTGTCATCGAAATCGAAGGGGTTGGAGTGGTGTTTGAATCAAAAAGTTAGTGGTCGAAGGTAGATTACTGATATTTGAATGGCTGAACGGTACAAACAGATGTCTTCTGGAGTTTAGACTCAATTTTTTCGCACTTTAAATGCGAGTGATAAAAATATCACTGAAGTCTTTATACAAGAAAATTGGTAGAACAGAATTCAATTCACAATTTAACAGCTGTCGATTTAATGCATAAAACATCACGTTAAAACTCGAACATACTAAGTTCAATAATATTCACTATGAAGACTGAAGATGAAGTTGATGTAGTTAAAGAGAAATGTGCACTAAAGTTTACCGTCTCATTGAGAAAAATAGTGAGTAAAAACATTAGTACTTGAAAACAAATTAGCGTGGGATTTTTTAAATTTCGTAATAATAGAGGAAATCTGATTTCCTAAAGATAAAAACTATTATCCAAGTAACCAAGTACACATTTACGTACTCGTCTTTGAGCCATACATATTGCATAAGCGCTAATAATAACACTCAGGTTTTCAAACCAAAGTGCAGTACATAGTAAACAAAATATTTAAGAGTTATGGACACTTTCATTCATAGATATTAGTCACTAGTCTACCAACCCATGAGTAAAAAATGTGTCAAGAACACAGTTTGTCTGGGTAACAGCGTGAGAGTTACGGTGTTTTGTCACGAACTGAACTTAATTCATCTCATTATATATGTTACAGTTCATTCATATTTTTATGTAAATTGTCAGCAGAAAAAACTAGTGTATCATAAGTCATAACCGAAATAAATCTAATCACTAGTTTCGTGTGGTTAGTGAGCATCTATTTTTGTATCGAGTTTTATTTTAGTTTTTTTGAGGATTTTTACTGTTTTTCACACTGCTTTTTCTAGATTTATTTCTTTATTTATCCTCCCAATACTTTTTAATTATGGGAAACTGATTCGACAACAGTATATCAGGTACTTTATGTTGACCTATATGTTATTGAAAAAAATCGGTCGAAAAAATATTTCCTTCTTATTAGTAAGTGAAAGTTTACATGACAGTTAATCAGTATTTCTTATAGCTACATAATAAAAACGAATTTTAAATACGGAAAAATATACATACAGTTTAGTTCACAATTATATTTCCACTCAGAAGTACTAAATGACAGTGATTTTGGGGACGCCTGGTTCTGTGTAGTTAGTTGCCTATTGTCCAACTTACATTGACCAATGATACAGCCAACAATACCAGTAAGTAACCTTCAAAAGAGAGAAACAGAAGCAAAAGCCAGTAAGGATAATTAAACAAAAAATGCAGATGTACTGTAGCATCTAAACACCCTGGTAAAGGATATTTGCCGTGAAATTAAATTAGGTATGACAAATGACCTGATACGAAAGCACGAGAAGCAATATCTCGAAAAACAGTCCCAGACTGAAAAAAATAACACTTGATAACGGAAGAGATGAAAAACAGAACAAAACTGGTCATCTTGTACAACCAAACAAGATGGATTGGTTACCAGAGGACACAAAAGCAGCAAAACACATTTTAAAAAGTGGAAAAAAACAAACCATTTATATTCCTCTTTAACTATATCCGAATTCCCGGGAAAAGTTATTTCACAGTTGACGAAATCTCCACCTGAATAGACGCTCGGCCCAACCAGTTTGGCAGCTAAACCGAGATTTTGTCCTTGAGATGTCGATGACATTTATTAGCGTAAGAAACCCTTGAAATGACAGAATATTGGCATCCAGATGAAAATAACCTGGCAGATAAAACAATGTTGGGGGAAAAATTACTCTTCCGATACATATCAATCGCGTCGAGATTCCAAGTTAACAACAGACTTAAAAACGTGGATTTGATTACATTTTAAAATCGGAATTGTAAACCAGTAAGGAACTCTCGATGAGCTCGAGAGAGTAACTAATTTTGCTCATGATGAAGGGAAAACTTACTTCCACGAGAAGAAATAATTTATTATGCAACTAATGATTCAGGGTATGTAGCTACAGTGTATCCGCGGTGTACAGTGTCTGGATTTTTCCGTGAGGGTTAAAGATAAAGGCTAGCAGAGAATCCAAAACCCAGAGGCATGGGTCACTGAGATCTGGACTATTCAAACTACAGATGTGGGGTTTGACTCATTAATACTTCTTATTCTGCTAAGATACTATCAGTCGCCTTCCGCTCATTCCGTACTTTCGAATGAAATGATGGCTGCAATATAAAGACGACCTTAGAGGTATACAGAAGTGGTCTTGAGAAGCTTCAACCAAGTACGTGCTAAAATATGGTTACAAACTAGTGTGAGGAATCGGGATAAGGAGTTAGAAATTAGGGTTAGAGTTCTTATCCCCAAATGATATCACCTATTATGAAAAGATGTTACTTAGCCAAATAGATGGATGGATTTCACTCGAAAATCTGTCTGTCGTAAACCCGATCGATTAGTCAAAAAAATTCTAGTCCAGGAGAAATAACAAAATGAAGGAACTAGATTTTGAAGTCAGATGAACGATTATTTAGAAGTAGCAGTGAAAAACAATGTCTTTAACCGTGAGACCTCTTGTAAGAACAGAGCATACTTTTTGGGGGAACCAACTACAAATATACAGAAGAGGGTAAGCACAGTGACTTACAGTAATAGTGAATTAGGTTACCATTTCCGTTTTAATGCCCTGATATACTAATTTTTGGTTTTGATTTTGTAAAAACATCGGAATATGGATAAACTAAGAGTTGCTAATGCTATTTCACCAGACAGAAAAGCACCTTAATAAGTCGCTTCCATAAACTTTTAGTGACCCTAGTGAAAATACCAAGGAGTCTTATTTCCCAAGTGATGCCACTTAAGGATGGATCATTGGATAAAAAATTAATGAACCTTTAATGGATGTTCGAAGTGTTTGAAGCTATGAATGAAAACGACCGTCATGTCGAAGATTACTAAAAAGACTGATATCATTGACTTGTTATTGACGTATGGAACATGATATTCGGTGTTGGAGAGAATACTACTGGCTTATTGTCATACGAACGTGAATAAAGAAGGACAATCCATAAAATGTAATCCATCAGCTTCATACATATCAGACAGACTTAATTCAATTACCTAATAATACAAAAGCGCTTCTAAAAGCATTGGAAGTGTATGTACGGTGGATTGAATGGGACATATGGTTTCAAGAACGTTATCATGGCCTTGGAGGTGATGCACTCTACCTTCAAAATGAAGTGCGAAATCCGAATTGCTTCTATTCTGGAAGTACTAAGTGTAGTGGAGGAATACTGATAGCGCCGTAAGTAAAGCCATAATAAAGTCCCGTGAATAAAATACATACTCAGTTGATACATAAAATGAACTCTTAATAATAAAAGCAAGTAATAAAATAAAACAATAATATAATACAACCAAAACTAATGGGCAACTTGAACACTCGGCAGGGACTGCCGTTGAAGTTATGGATCTAAGCAATTAATCAATCAGTTACTTAAAATCATAGGTCGTCCCTCTTTCAGTGTGTTGCTTATGTTACTAGTGAATCTTTTCGAATGTATCACGCAACGCAAGAATCGAAACAAGAGCGAAGTAAGCTTCAGTCTTCAATAATAAGGATAGTAGGTTGGTGAATATGTATTAATCCTGACACATTGCTTTCCAGTGAAGGTCCAGCTTTTCCCTGAAAGTATTCACTGATGGGGTTCATACCACTTGTTCGGGTAAGGCGTTCCAACGATTGACTACTCGATGAGAAAAACCGGGACCCCACTTTAAGTTTATTAGATCGTGGTTTATGAACCTTCTTGCTATGACCTCGGAGATTATTAGTGCTAGAGGGAGCAAAAAGATAAAACATATTAACACCCAAATCATGATTAAAGATACGAAATGCCAGTATAAGGTCACCTCGTGTCCTACGATACGACAAGGGGAAAAGATTTAGGCGTTTTAAACGCTCATCGTAAGGGAGTCTAGAAAGACCCTTTCATAATTTCGTTCCTGCACGCTGGACACGCTCAAAGGAGTTAGTATCTCTTACCAGACACGGGCTAGCTGCTTGGATACAGTACTCTAAATGTGGTCTAACATATATAGAAGATTCAGATATTCAGCCGCACTTTTTATTGTTCTCCAGATTTTTACATCATCCGCAAACAATAATGTCGACGACCTAAGTAACAGCGGTAACTCATTAACGTAGAGAAGGAAGAGCAGAGGGCCTAAGATGGTGCCTTGGGGTACACCACTTTTGACCGGCTTCCAATCGGATAGCGTTCCGTTGACCCTCACTCTCTGTCTGTGGTCACATAAGAAATTTCCTATCCACTCATGTACAGTACCTATTATTCCGAAGCTCGTGAGTTTCTGCATAAGACCTACGTGTGTAACCTTGTCAAATGCTTTGCTAAAATCTATGAATATCACATCGACAGACAGACCGTTACCTAGGGCTGCTGTCCAATCCTCTCTTGCAATGAGCAAGTTAGTCAAGCATGAACGCTTGTTACGAAATCCGTGTTGCTCAGGAGCTAACAGATTGTATAAATCTATGTGGCTTAGCAACCTGACCCGAATTACCTTTTCCAGTAACTTAACGACTATGCTAGTTAAACTGACAGGCCGGTAGTTAGATACTATCTGTCGCTGACCGTCCTTAAATATAGGACTGACTATAGCGTCCTTCCAATCTCTAGGGAGTTGAGCAAGTGAAAGGGGCATGTTGAAGAGTGTCGCGAGCGGTTTTGAAATAATGCCCGCAAGAGATGACAGCAACCGTGGGTGTAACCCGTCAGGGCCCGGTATCTTACCAGGTTTGAGGTTAGTTATCAACTGAAGGACAGTTTCCTCAGTCACCTGTACAAATTCAATCAGTTACTTAAAACCATAGGTCATCCTTATTTCAATGTGTTGCTTATGTTACTATTGAATCTTTTCAAACGTAGCACGCAACGCAAGAATCAAAACAAGAGCGAAGTGAGCTTCAATATACTGTATCAATGTAGACAGTTAGTGTAAAGTAGATAGTGTATTTTTACTCATGTCGTGACATGAAGCCACATTTTAAGATATTATATCAAGCAAAAACGTAATATTTTAGTTAATCAACCTAAGTACTGGTGAATTCAGATTCAGATTTGTGCAGTTAGGCAGTAGGCCTGAGGCCCATGTTATTCCTGTCTTAGTATTCTTCTACGAGTGTCCAGTCTTCTTCTGAATGAGTGAATTAAAGCTACTGACACCACGGCTCCGGGCAACAGGTTTCGAGAATTGATGACTCGGTGTGAAAAGCTATATGCCACGGATATTTTGTTCGTTCTTAGCATTTCTACTATCTTGATATGCCTTATGACATGTCTCGATCTAGTGGGAAAGGGGAGAATACATTGGGTTCAACATCATTTCTTAATATTCTATACGTCAAAATCAAATATCCTCTTAGCATGCGATATAATAGAATAAGTAGGTTTAGTTTTTCAAGCCAGACACAGGCGCTCCCCATATGCTGCACCTATTAACCTTTGTATTCGCAAAGTGCATGTAGACACACTTTGCCTCGTTGATATGCATCAGACACTCTTTAGATCAGTTAATCACATTATTTAAGGTCGCCTGAAGTGCGCATGCATCTGCGTCATCCGTTATTACTTGCCAGATTTTTACATCGTCCGCGCACAATAACATTAGGGACTGTACTATGCTTGGGAGATCATTTACACACAATGTACAAAGTAAAGGACCTAGGACAGAACCTCGAGTTACTCTACTAAGTACTGGCCTCCAGGTGGAGCACTTGGAATTTGTTCTTACTTTCTGTCTACGACCTACTGGGAAATCCTTAAGCCATTTTAAGAGAGATCCGGCAGTACCAAGATTTTCTAACTTCAATAGTAGTCTATTCGTTGGCACCTTGTTAAATGCCTTACTGAAATCTATGAAGACAACATCCACTGAGTTTCTGTTGTCTCGACTCTTTATCCAATGCTCCCTTTGTAAGATCCAAACTACGGTTTGGACCGATGGACAGCTGTCTGGATGAGTTAGATACGCACCCTCGCCCGTTTGAAACCAAAACAAAGTAATTGGGTAAGGTGACGGTTCTATAATTTATTATAAACTTAAGTGTACATTATTACCTAAACAAATATGACCACCCATCTACCCAACCAATAATTGTTCAGTTGATCAAATCTCAATTACAATAAGTAGAAAAGTTGATAAAGGATGCAAGAAAATTACCAATCAAAACAAATAAATGTTATTCTATCCTGTCTGGATAGACCACGTACAGATTCGTTCAAAAGGTAATAATTGGTCGCTCTATAACACAGAGTGTTTTCAATTCTGGAAGAGTGCCTCAAATCACAACCAAAATGCACAATTCCAGTCAACACAGGTAAAGCAATCAAAAGGAGGAACAAACCAATATGGCTGCCGCCAAGACTGAGTATAAAGTAAAGCAACATAAGTGCAGTTCGGGAAGAAACACGGGGAATTAGTGAAAGTGTAGTAAAAATAAAAACTATAATAAAATACAAATATTAACAATTCAAATGTAATCAAAAACTAACAATGTACAACTGAAGGGATCAATAGGAACAAAGGGCAGGTATGCACATGGAGGGATTTTCACAAACACACAAAACATCCCAAATGAATCTTATACCCTTGCTATAAGGAGGTTTGTTGTGTAAGATAAACCTTTTCTGAAACCATGTTGTTCGCTGTTTAACATGCTTTTGGTTTCCACACATGCCGTTATGGTCTTTTATACTATTCTTTCAAATTCTTTAACTACAACGCTGGTGAGGCTGATAGGTCTGTAGTTCGATGGAAGTTGTTTTGGTTTTGTTTCCTGTATGCGAGTGACGATTACACACTTCCAGTTCGTAAGTGACACACCTTGGTCAAGGGACATATTGAATATCACAGTCAGCGGGGTTGCGATATATTGTGGAACGTTTCAGGATTTTAGGGTGTATTTCATCCGGTCCTGTTGACTTTTCCATGTCTAAGGTGCTAAGATCCTTAAGTACGTCGTCTCGATTAAAGTTCACAGTGAGCAGGAGGGTTGTTGACTTTGTGGTTGGGTCTAGTCCATCGACCAGACAAAGTTCATTAGTGAAAACTGCCCCAAAATAGTTGGTCATTGCCAACTGCATTTCATATTTTCTCTGAGCTTTCCTTGATATTCGAGGAATATGTGTTAATTGTTATGTAGTGGAAACGAATGCCTGAATTTTTCCCAGGTACATGATTTTATCGGAACACAGCTATCACATCACAGAGTTTTTTGTGAAGTCAGTCAATGAAATTCACGTGAAATGTCCCTTTTGTAGTGAGAATGACCGCTCAGTTTGTCAAGCATTGTGATGTGTACATTACCTAAACTTCTGTATGCCTCCACATATAAGTCCAGATGGCTAAGTCATTATTCTTTATATTTGCTTTTTATCTGATGACTGCCTTTGTTGCATAATTTAAGACTCTCTCCAAGAAATCTATCACATATTTTAGGAGAGTAGGTATTGATCTTCATTTTGCAAGACGTGTGTGTTAAGAAAGGCTTGGTAATCAGGAAACCTGATTTCCTTCCAACATAAAAATGCTCTACTTTTTATTGTAATATTTTACCATCACTCCTTGTATGAGATGTGGCTCTTCTCCCTTACATTTATATATCGTGTCCTCTTCAGAAACCGTGATATCATAGAATAAGACGATGATGGAGTGCCTATTGTTTCTAGATTACAAACAAGATAGTTAAGCGACATCGGTAAGACAATTTGAAATATGTGTTGCGAATTCATGCTTTTCATGTATTCACTTAATGTTATCACTGAAATATAGAGCACGCAAATGAGTTCGTTTATGCCGAACAGACCAATGACATTTCGATCATAGCGCAAATGGCCACAAATATCTTAAGTTCTCGTGGTTAACACAGACTCCTTTATCCTTGTTGGCCAATCAGAGACGAAGGTAGTTAACAAATTTACCTACCGTTAGCAAATTTTCGTCTTGACTCGGAAAATAAAGTTTCATAAATGTACATCACGTAATATTACATTGAACAAAATTGAGTAGTGAGTGGATGCTTAATTCGTAATGGCTCTAGAGCGGTAAACATGCAACAATATACCGGGTATTTCAGGATAGCAACCACCTTGCTCTTCGGATAGCCAATGCCCTGAATGACAATGGTGTTACCGAGAAAAGTTAGAAAATCTGTTTGAGTTCAGCATTAATGGATGTTTATAATAATGTCGTATTAATCGATCCGATGAAAGACTGGGTTCAAATCATGGGTGAGGATTTTGCTTTCTGAAGGTATTGGAAATAAGTACATTCAAATACTTGAGACGTGTATGTGTGCAATTATGGTCTACTTCGCTATTGGTATCGCTCCATGAAGAGATTTAATCCCAAAATTTTAGGTTTGTCATGATGTAACTGCCTAATCTATAAAATCTTACGTGGAGGCCACATTATTATCTACACCAACTCACCGCATCGTAACAATCATCAATATATGATAAGGAACACATTTAGGTCAGAGATAGAACAATTTATTCAACATGAATAAAAGGTATATAACAACACTAAACAATGATCACGCCTGAAACTTCACTGTAAATACATGAATCATGAGAACAACGTATATTTGGTAAAATAATATCATGAATCTGACCAGAGTATGATTCATTTGGAACATTCAACTTAATAGGATCGGAGTTATAGAGTTTACCATTAATTGCGGCGAAATATTTAGTAGTTTTGCAGACTGCCTGTTAGTGTCCAATTTTATCACCTATAAAGCATTTATCATGATGAAATACACATGAATTATATAAGTAAAGTTTGCCACACGACAAACATTTGTCAAACTTGTGCTTATCCTCGTGACCTACTTCGCTACTCCTCAATGAATTGTTATCTGCACAACATTGAGTGCTCATTGGATTGGGATGGCGTAGTAATGTAGTGGAATTTTTGATGTTCTGATGAATCATTTTATAAAGTTTTCCTCCTTTGCAGCATTCAAAGTTTGTGCACTTTATATGGTCTAGTAGTAGTTCATTGAGAGCTGCATAAGAAAGTGAAATAGGCTTTTCCGGATGTGCCACAGTTTTTAATAAGCTGTATGCTTATGTAAGAAATGAGCCTTAACATTAACATCCTCAACATCTTACTTGGTCGGACCTTTCCATATAATTCTCAAAAGCACGGAAATCTGAATGTATGTCCAATCATTCTATCACAGGCTCCATTCGACGTCAATATGATGATTTGAAGTATTTGAGTTATTATACAAACTAAGAATTTCAGAAAAAAACGCAATTTAGCTAAGATGAACTAGATGAACACGAACAAGTGTATTATATTTGAAATTAAAAATCAAGCGGTCAACAACTTTAAGTCAATCACTAGTACATACAAACACCTTATCTTTCCTTTCCATCCAGAACGGATCATATGAGAGGACATTCTAAGTAAGTTCACAAAATGAGATCTAACAGTCCACATCGAAAGATCCGGTTCCCGTTTGGAGTAGCGAATTACTGGGATTCTTTATTAGTATACTTAATATCGAAATCTATCAATAAACAGATTGGATTCCCACAGTATTACAAATTACACAGTTGAATTTAAGTCCATTGACATTATGTCCTTACTATTGGAGACATTTTTTGATAAAAATTTGATTTGAATTTCGAATACGTCCTGAAACATTTTTTCAGGTTTAAGTCATGATTGTTAATTTAAGGTAACTGTTCATTCACTTCGTTTGGAACTGTTGTACTTATTTGCGAAGTCCGAAAACTGATGACACTGAAGGTCATATTCCTGAACAATGAGTCAGACGAGATGGGAACAACGTTTTTCCATCCGAAGGTTGACAATTGTGTACGTATACAAAGTAGACGTAATCAAACTGGTTTTCCAACTAAGAATTCCAGAAATAGAGCGATTCAAAGAAGGTAAACAAGTTGAGTACAAATTTACGTATTATATTTGGAATTCGTTGTAAGCGCGCAGTCAAGTACAGAAGAATCATCAGTTGGTACAAATACCTCAGTTTGTCATTTTTGTAAAGTGAAAGATACTGATATTCACGATTATAAAAACATTTAAATACGTCACAAGACATAACATGATATCATCCACATGCTAATATTTTAAAGATTCTATTTATTTAATTCACTTACACTTCATGAGTGCAGATTTGTTAAACAAATACAGTTCAAGCTTTTATTCGAATATTATAGTTTTGACAACTTTCAGAAAAGCCCGTCAGATGAATGAACAGACAAATTACATATAAGTACGGAAATTTATTTAAATGAGAAAGCAGTACTATGAGACTTGTAAGAATAGTTTCATACGTAATATCTTTTTAGATAATAATACAAACTTCTGCCGACTTACAGCTTTTGAAGTTGTAGATATGTCGGAATTTTTTATGAGATGTTAGTGAATGTCTGTATTCTGCTAAAAAACTAACTAAAAAACAAGTATGAATCTAACTGAAATTTCAAAGAAAAGAGCTTACATTATTCAAGATTGTAACAATCAGTGATTTTGCTTGAATGACTGGCTTATAATTAATACCAAGTTTTAGTAAAATAAGTGCTATCGAATAAAAATCTGCTTGTTTAAAACTCATTTCATTGTGCAATATTCACTACTATCTTTTAAATCTCATTTAACTTAAGCGGTATTATCTTTTACTGACAGAATGTTTATGAATGCTTTGTAAGGTACTTATTTCGGACAATGTTTATTAGTTCTATCAAAAAGGCTATGAGAAAAGAACCATTAGTAGCTGCGTTTCAGTTATCACTTATATTCAATAAATGGTTAATAATATAAAATAAATATGAAACAGTATTTCAGTGCTCTGTATTTAGTTTTGAGACGATCATTTGAAAGTTTCAGGATAAGGACTCTGATTTTCGTTAATTACTAGCAATTAGTACAAGTTACTTTGAAGAGTTACTTATATTGAAGGAAATTTAAATTAACACTTGAAAAAATGATAGAGGTGATGTTCCTCGTCGAGGTATACATTCATGCCTACTCCAAAAAATTTAAAAACGTCTATCAAATGTAGTAGTTGATATCATTTAATCGTAAATTATTAGTTTTCAGTATTTTACTGATACAGTTCGTTTAAATGGTATTATATGGAACTCTAATTAATCTTAGCAATACATTGTTGTTTGTTTGTCTTTCGTTTGTTTTCTCTCATCAAAACTATCGTCTCCTAGTAACTGTTATTTGGTAATAAGAATATATCACAAACTCACTATTCACTCTATTATGTTAAAGCAGGGGCTTAATAACTTAAACACACTAACATATTCCACACGAAAATCTAAGCTTACTAACACAGAACATCTCATTTCTGCATTGAGAACATAAGTTCCAAAAATAAAGAAATTACCGATTTTTTAACAGAACTAGCACAGATTTCTGGATTAAAATAACAATGAATGAACACTAACGAATCTAGATACAAAATTAAGGAGAGTTCGTTTAATTTGAATATACTTTAATAATTAATTCGCCAAAAGAAAATATAATTCAGTAAGTTATCTGAATTAACACATAAGAGAAATTAAGTCATTAGCTTCGAGAGTGAGTTTGTCCAGAATCTCTGATAAATATGACAAAATTTCTAATATAATCTTACATATTTTTTGTTTTACTTAATAATTCAATAGAAGGAAGTTTAAACAACGGAAAATCTTATTCGAATATCAAAATGTTACAGCGTTTAGTCATGAATCTTATTATTAAACGATGTATAATATGCAGAATATAGATCACTCATTAAAATATTCACGAAATAGTGCCAATTAATCATTGGAAATGTACTGATACGCCGTCCTTTTGAAAACAACATAGTTTTCTAATACTTAACTATTCAGGAGCCATGTGCTATCTTCCACTTAAAACTATCTCAACCACTAAATTATTGATATTACAAGTAAAATTTCCCTTTTTCCAGTCCACAATTGTCCCTGAGAATCCTATATGACTCTCTGGAAATTTCTCTTTTCTAGTCTTGACTTAATAACATTAAAATTTAAATACATGTAAAAAAAGAGTTTCTACTTGAAATTTTTCGACTCATAATTGGATTGTAGGTAGATGAACAGTTTAGTAATTTCATGACATGAAATTTGTTTACGTAAAGTAGCCAACTAACAAATATAATTGAGCAATAAATGTAAATTTAAACTGTTTGATTGGTAGCCTGAAGGTCATATTGTGTTTCTGATCATGAACCATCTCAGAACTTTGTGATTGGATAAATCTCTTATAATAATAATGGTAATAATAATAATAACAATGTTAATGTTTATTGTCAAAGTAGAAGTAAGCTAAAACAATGGACAATGTTTGAACGATTTAACGGAATAATGCTTTAAAGTTTCAACAAAAAAATCTTGTAAGTACTTATTTCAACATACATTTTATTGTGTTTTTATTAGTGTTCATATCTACTTATAATGTTAGAGAAAATTATTGTTGAGCATTAACCATTCTGGATTAATGTTATTTCTATTCTATTTTTGTAAGATATTTCACAACAAATCCCGAAACATAACATCTTAATGGAAACTCAATAAGATATCGAAAATCAAAATATAATTCATGAAATTATAGAGTTTGTCTGTACACCATTAATATAATCTGTGTAACTGTTGTACAAAAGAGAAAGAAATTGGTGTCAATTGTGAACAGAAAATAGACAAAGCTCTATAGCACATCTCTAATTCGTGAAAACATTGTTCTTAAAGTGTTTCCCACATATTATAAAGGTATGATGGATAACAATATATTCCGAAAAAATAAAGAATTAGCTCTTGGTCTTTCTGTTAAATGGTTTTGTCATTCCATTGACAAGGTATCTTAAGACCTGTTTATTATATTTATGGTCATTAAAGCCATAAGTCGTCAGTATAATTTATCTATATCTGATGATTCAATAAAGTATATAGCTCTGGTTTATTTGGTTTGAGTTAAGGAGTGGAATCTAGGATATGTGCTTCTTTCTTTTTGGAACGAGTTAGGTGGATGAACTTGAATTCAAGTTTTGATGTCTGCATTCAAACTAAAACACACTATCCTTCTGTTCATACATCTAGCTCAATATCCATTGAGTTAGTGATTTCAGATGTCCAGTATAATCATCAGTAATAGGATCCAGGTGCATCTAACTGATTATTCCTAAGTAAGAAAAAAGCCTCGTTCTAGATTGTAGTCTTGACCACATAGCAATTATGTTAACATATACAGTTCTTCTTAAACAATGGTTTCAACTTCCTGTCTTCTAAATATTTTGGTAAAATTTTAATATAATTCACTTATAAACAAATAAGTAGACTGTTTTAATTTATTCTATCATTAAATCTTATTAGTAAAACCGAAATAATACAAAGAGAAATACATTTGACCAGCACTGGTTTAAGTGTTGTGCTATATGCTCCAATTATCTGGATTTTTTTTATAAAAGTATCTTATTAAGCTCATATTTCTTCATTTAAGTAATAAAACAATGAGAAAATAGTTTTGTTTCCATGTAATAGTCCTATTCATTATAAATATTGAGTATATGACTTTAATTTGACTTTTTACTCAAATTACTGATCTTCATTGAGTGAAAATATATCGATCAATTTTTAAAAAAAAAAGAAATTACTTTAATTTAAGCCAAGATAGTTTTTCACTCATCTATCTATATACGCACATATATATCTTTTACAGAATAGCTAAAATTTGAATCTATGAACTGCCCTTTTTTGTCTGGTATGTTTAGTTTACATTTAAAAAAATATACACATTCAGACAACAAATAATGTAGATTATTCCAATGAACAAAATTGGAATTAAATAACTCATATGCATTTGATTGTCATTGAATGAGATTATTCAATAAAATTCCAAAGATATAAGCAAATAAATATCTCATATGATGAGTGAAATGTTAAAACAGAAACAAAAAAAAGAAAGAAATACAATTAAAGGCATTAATCGAAAAGAAAAATCAGATAGAAACTAACATACTGTTTCTTAACCAAATAAAAATCAAGTTCTAGTTCACATGTACATATGTACAATGAATTATCTGTCATGTAAAAGGAAGACAAGTTCAACTGATATATATATATATATATATATATATATATATGAAACAGGTATTCAATATACACTGACACTGTTATATTTTATTGACATAAATTCAATTGTAATATGAAACCTTTAAAGAATGTTAACTTATATATTTTCTCATAAGATATATTCTAATACTAGGGTGTGGCATTAAACACATAAGAAACTATTTATAGTTGTTTTATTATATTTATAATAGAACAGATACACTGATTCCTTCAAGACATTGTTAATTAATTTATTAAAATATTGAAAATTATAATTATATGAAATAGTGTAAGTTTTATTGTTTTACTGTATGAATTTCATATTATTATTATTATTATTATTATATAAGCTAATTAATTGTTCTTTCAATTATAAGTATCCATAATCACTTCGATTTTGATACTGTGGACTATAATTGATCAGTTTTTTTTGGTGTATATACACACTTCGAATGAAATACTTCAATAACGCCATTAGTTTACTATGTAATTTTTATTTATCTTTACTAAATAGTTAAATAATAGTCATAAATGAAAATATTAGTAAATATTCAATATGTTAAAATATATCTTATAGCAAAACTATAATTTTACATTTCTTAATGAAGAATATTATTAGAATAACAGTTGGTATTGTTCAATGAAACAATTCAAGATCGTGTAGTACTGATGAACTTGAAAGAAATTTTTGTAGAAATCCTTCAGATATTTAGTTTGTAAACATTTTTGTCATTTCAGGCACTTTTTTATATATTTCAGAGAAGGGTCCAAACTATTTTTTGTACGGGAATATGTTAGTTCATTTAATTTTGATTTGTTCTAGCATGTTACATTTTACATGAAATAAAACTTAAAATATTTAAATTCATGAATAAGTAATTAGTTTAAGGTTAATATACCTTATAATACATTTAAGAAAGGTATATTAACGAGATGCAATTACGAGTCTTATGGAGAAGTCTAACATTGGTTGAAACTATTAGGTAAATTCGCTGCTTGTTTATGCACTATTAAAGAGATTTAATGGATAAGATTTATGAATCAGATAGTTGACTTGAATGAATCCTTTTAAAAAAAAACATTTTTGAAATAATATTGCTGCTTCAACTTGATTCATAAGTAAAATCTCAAAATCAACCAATGATTTCTTCGATTTATTGATCCCAATGAAACCTTCAAGTATCATAGACCCAGTTTCAGACCTTCTGGAAAAAAAAAGGAAATTATGCGTTGGAATTGATGCGTTTTAAAGTAGATTAAGTTTGATGAAGCATCTTATTTATAAATTATTTTATGTGATACGTACTAAGTAATTAATACCTCAACGCTTATGCTAATTTTACATATAGATACCAAATTATTTTGTTTTTCCAAATTTCTCAGGACAAAATGTCAATTCAGATTTCATAGCAATGAATAGACCCTATTTAGCATGTAACAACTATTATTATTTTCAGGTAGTCAATAGCTAATAAAGACTTTTTGTATATGCATATTTACTTACCTAAAGTTTATAGAATCATTTTCCTAAGTAATAATTCAGGCCAGTTTTTATAAAGAGGATAATGTTATCTACATGTAACACTCATTTAACTCCAAAATATATTTTAAGACTAAATAGTTCACGTTTGAAACTAGTTGGGGAATGTCACTTCCCCAAATGTTGAAGATACGCCAACTTGTTGGATTCCAGGTCTACATTTGGAGTTTATTCCTAATTACCTTTATTCATATGATATAAAAATATTATGTTCGATCACCTAGACTACTGAAAGAATTACAACCCGAATGAGAGTATTCTGTGAAAATAATGACTGAACAAGCACGAAATTCACTGCTACTCAGTCACCAATAAATGTAAATTCAGAAAGTAGCGAACATCTGTTTCATCCTAATTTAAAAGATTACAGTAATGATCATGCTTGACCTCAAATGATCCCAAGAAACTTAAAGTGTATATTGGTTAAACTATGTCTCTCTGTGCCAAATTATTGTAAATGTACATTTTTATTATTTACAAGTAATAATGTACAGTAAGAACAAGTGTAAGGTGTATGAATATAACTTCTTCACTTGTTGGTTTTACATCTTGGTTCATTTGTTATTGAAGGTAACTATGCCTATAAACTTAATAAAATCAAGATCTATAACTTTTTAATTGATAATAACTCACTTAATTTCTGAAAGAAAACTACTTACAAATAAAAGACGGATTCAGAGTTCATATTTCCCTGTTTTTGTTTATTTGTTTTGTTCAATATTTTCGTTGAAAACTTGTACTTCTTACAACATTTCTGTTTTTAATAATTTGTGAATTATACATATATCAACACATTCATTTATGAAATATATCAATAAACATATTCAATTTATGTTTACTAAACTGATTTTACAATAGTATCAAAGGGGTAAATGTTATTATAAAGTTAATAATTGTTGTCATGGATATTAGTAAAGCTTTAAATCCAAACTTAATGCAATTTAAAATAATGCTTCAGTTTCTAATGAACAATTTTGTAAACTCATTCAAATGTATAAATGTCATCATCTACTAGTTAAATGTGTGTTTATTTGTGATTCTACTTCAAACATTCAAAAAATTTTAATTCAATTCTTTGTAATCGTCAACTTATAACATAATAAAACGTTCTTTGTTACCGAATATTAGAATTACGTTGAAGCTTATTTTATTGTTATATGATTTCATTGACAAATAAATTAATCAAATCAATATAACATATAGGGTCTTTTGTTATTAGAAATTCTTTCATTACTCTTGTGATATTTCAATTTAAACTATAATAAACTGGTTAAAATTGATGCGAAAAATTGTAAACTAATTAATGACTATAATATGCATTGAATCAAAAGTTTGTTTAATACTTTCAAAAAAGTACACATTAAAAAAAGTATGTTCCCCCTTTGTTATATTAGATCTAATTCATATGTAATATAAATCTTCTGTAAATGAATTTGAAATGTATCTGTGACAATTCATCTGGTCTAATTTATCCGATCAGCTAATAATCAATAGTTTTCAAGCTTTTAAATATACCTGTTGTTTGTTTTGAGATAGAAACTTTTTACAGACTAACGATTTCTCACTATTATCTCTGTATAAGCTAATTCAACAGATCATGAGAAAATATATTAGAAAATAAACTAGTTACTAAATTTTCATAACAAATGCTGTATGATTTTAGGTAGGAGTAAAAATTTTAAATATCATGTAGTGAACGAGAAAACAAATGGAGACTGTCAAATGTATTTGAACTTGAAATTACAGAATCTCTTAATAAAATCTGAGAACCATACAGTAAATACTTCATTTGAAAAATATCAATCTATCGTCTCAGACTTTATTGTTACCTTACTTCCATACCAATCACTCTCTGTTCTCGTTTTGTTCTCTCCGATCTTCTCAACCTCCTACCTCCAGGCATTCTTCTTTTGATTTGTGATACATATTACTAGTATTTGTTGACATCAATAGTACATACCACAATCAAAGTCGTCATAGAAAATGCAATCTTTGTTCTTGCATTGTTTAAAAACCTTATGATTTGCCTTTCGTATTTTTCTATGTTTGACATTTTAATTATGCTGTTGGGATTTAAAAAATAACTTTGAATTTCATTATTTTTCTAATGATGTTTTTTAAATAAACACACGTGAGACAGCGACTACCAGCGGGACCTAGGATTCACGTTTCGTCCCATTTGAAACTCATTAGCTGGATGTACCTGCATTGGATTGTGCAACGAGGTGAATTTTATTTTAGTTGTTTCAGTCTTATTGTTGATATTACTGGTTGTTAGTGACTAGTCCTATTAGTTGCAGGGAATGGAATAATCATGATGTATAGTTCAAGATGATAAATAATGCGGCTTAAAATTAATCACATTCAATTTATTTTTATCATAACGTCATTCTTTATCCTTGAATTGGATTCTCTGTGATCTATATTTGTTATCGTTCGTTTTTCAGCTTAGTGGATATGATATTTCTTCACCCCTGCTTCACATTTTAATAGTACAATATATTGCTCAGTTGATTTTTGCCATACCAACTTGCACTAGAACCTATGATTTCTATGTCACATATAATCAATGAGTGACTAACCTTGTACTAAAATTCTAGTGACTTGCTAACTTGACATTTACCATCACAATATTGTAACATAGAAATTAGTATCTCATAAAAGTTTTTACTTGTTTCTAGTTACATAAATTAAACAAGGCATAAGTGGTACTTTATACCGAACATCAAAGAGACAGTATTAAGCTGATAAAGCACCATTTAACATTTCATATACATAAGTACAAAAACTTTGTTCACCTATCCCTTTTTATATCAGTATTTCTTCTACTTCTAGCTTCGTTTTTAAACCATGGAAACTGTTCGTGGTGAAAGTGACTCTAATGATATCAATGAACATAACACATTAATTTCAATAAATCGCCCTCTATTCACTAAAGAAACGTTTCATCAATATGCAGGATATAAATCGAACTTAAAATCACTAACTACTTGGCAACAATGTCTACATATATTCATACCATTTATTCAAAAATGTTCTCAAATATTAAGAGTCAATACAAATGAAAATACTTATAAAGACCGTGAAGAAACGAATGAAGAATTCTCTAAAAAAAGTAGAAAACAATCAATAATTGACAACTGTCAATATTTTATGACTCGTTTCTTTAAATGGTTGATTACTTATTTTCCATTCATCCAGATTCTGATGCAATACAGAGTGAAAAGTTGGCTTTTCAATGATATAATTTCAGGATTTACAGTTGGAATAATGCATGTACCTCAAGGTTAGAAATGTTTAATATCTATTAAATCATAGAAAATATAGTCTTTAGTACATATCGTTATTTAGCTGCTAAATTCTTTGCATTTCAAATATATGAAGCGTAATGATAAAATTTTGATAATAAGAAGGTAAGTGTTAGACAGTATAAAACCATCTGTTTGACATAAGACATTCTTGATTCTTCCACTTTTATGTTCATCAGGTTTGAAATTTCTCAAAATATCTGCTCGTTGAAGTTTGTGATTATATATTAAAGTATCCACTTAACGTAAATAGCTATCGTTTTCTATAACTTAAAAGTATACGTGAATCCGGTGAGTTGGGTTAGGGTTGAAAATATCATTGCAATCTTCAGAACAGTAATTTCCTAGTTTATAATTTCGAATGAATAACATCAAGTTATTCAAAGGTGTATGAGATTTAGTGGGAGTAATTTTTTGACACTAAAGATTTCTTATATACTCTACATGAAAGCCAAGCATGACTGAAAATAAAGTCATAACTTGAAATGTATTTAAATTAATTTGTTCGTAATTCGACATGAAGAATAGAAATAGATTTATCTCTATAACTGATCATTGAAAATTGAATAGCTAGACAGAAATGAGTTTTAAGATTGTATAATAAATTTCCATTGACCACCTTATGTCTACAATTACATTTTGAGCAGTATAACTGCCTAAACAAAGACATAAGGTGTTTATTGTCAAACTGAATATAGGTAAATCATCTTACATGTGACGCAACAAACATGAATCATTTTCTTTGAATAAAAATGTGTAATGTATTTTAGACAGAAAAATATTCAATTGTTTTTAAATTTGGATTGTCTAATGACTTCAAATGCTGACTTACATAGCATGAAATTACTAAAGACTATCATATTAAAACATAGCGTTCTGTATCATCAAGCTGAGCTATTTATCTAAAGTCATTCGTCAATAGGCGATAAGTACCGATGTGGTCAGCCAGAAGATGGATAACACAAGAAACACCATACATGATGACTATGTTATGACTGAATAGCTCACAGACAACAAGCACAACTCAGTATATGAGTGTTTATGTAAACACTGTTTATTCATGACAGGTGGGATTAGACAAGTATCACCGAGGACACTGGTTGACTGTCACACTATATCACAAATTAACTAGAGATATCAAATTGTGACGTACTTTCCAGGGAACCTGAAGGTATTTTGCTCAATCCTTAGCTAAACCATAGATACAAACTGTTGATTAGTACCTAAAACAAAAGAACTATCCAGCTTTTCCTGACTTTTCATATAGACTCAGACTGTGGCAAAAACTAAGTGGTAAAGAATTATATAATTTTTACTTATTTCATATAGAATTTTACCGACTAGTTTCTGAATTGGGAATGGAATTTACCATAATTAATTTTTTTCCTTAACTATTTTAGGCATGGCTTACGCTTTAGTTGCTACACTGCCACCAGTATATGGACTATACACTTCATTTTTCCCATCGCTAATCTATTTTTTTCTTGGAACGTCCAGACATATATCAATAGGTAAGGTTTTCATTTATATTGTTGAATAAATTTTGTATACCAAAACCATTGGTAGGGTGATACTTTTAATGAATAGTATTTCATATAGTCAAGGTATAATACGTATTCAGGAACTAGAAGTGATATTAACGAAATTGGGGTAAATTATTTCAATAGAATTAGTTTAAACCTAAGTAATCAAGTTATTAGAGAATATAGTTTTGTTAGTATATGTATATATTATTTTAGCACATAAATATTAGTACAAAGAGGCACCAAATACATATGCGCCACCCAAATCTCACTTGATATGTGTGAGGGCTGCGATACTGTCCGGGTGCTCAAATCGAAGCAGGTCGTCTTCTTCGGGGGCCATACCTGTGGCCTTCGACCTGGAGGTCTGATCCACAAGGCAGTGGAGCATCGTAAGGAGATGCAGTCCCATGGAAGCCGGTGACCAACAATTGGTTCATACGCCATTTGTTCCCGCAGGATACTGGAGCCCATGTGCACCATTGGTTTGGAATCTGGTTAAAACGCCGGACATTCGCTTTTCGTCCTCTCATTTCTGTAAACAACACCCCCGCCACGATAAGGCAGTGAGTAGGACTTCCCTGGCAGAGGCTATATACGCGTGGCCATGTGAGAGCATCTGGAGAGGGAGAGCGGACTCTCCCCACTCTCGTCCGTACCACGGCATTTGAGGGCGTTAGTATATATACTGACTAAATTGGTTTTTCCCGCACATTTTATTTTTACAATATAATTAGCATTACTATAATTGGAAAACAAATATTGATATTAATAATAATTACTTAATAATATATTTCTTGAAAAGAAATAATCTAAATGATATGAATAAAATGTTTAGTATGTAAATATTTAGTTTGTGTTCATATGTTGACCATTGCATTTTAATTTATAGCGGAGATATCACAATGAGCTTATAACTGTGTTTACAATGAAGCAAAAGTTATGAATGTATTTTGTGTAAATTTCTAACCATATTAATTAGTTTGTAATCTATCTTAATCATACTTACTCATAACTTGTTACTTTTAAGTACATTTAAAAGTAATCAAAACTAAATCAATTTTCTTTGAATTACCATTAAGTAGACGACTAGGTACTAAAGAATAAAACTAAGTTGATGTTTTTGTTAAACTTATGAATCCATGTTAACTATTTCTGAAAACACAATAATATATAAGCTGACTTCAGTGTATGAAACACAGTTTCTAATACATTAAGGTGTTTTAAATACCTTCCTGAAGGATCATGATATAATACAGATCAAACACATTTTGTTTCTTTATTCACATACTATTAGTTAAGATTAATTAGAATCTTAATAAAGAATATAATTTCAAAAACTTTTCTGTGGGATTAATTTGATTGATTTAACGAAATATAGCATATTTTCCATAATCTAATTTTCAGTGTTGCTCACTTGTCCCACTACATTCTTTCTAAATCAATCAGTTTCTTTTATATAATTTTTTTATAGTTAATGTTTTTTCATCATTCATTAAAGAGAATGATATTAATAGCTAATCTTATTTTATTTGAACAAATTGTAGGAATATAGTTAACTTTACAGTTAACTGTTTTCCATTTTCAGTAACGTCTATCAGTGTACTTCCATATTTCATTGAATTCTAATACACTTTAACATCAATCGACGTTTGATATCAGATAATTATAAAGTTATGTATTATATTTAATGAATCTGAGATAAGGTGATATTTACTTTTGAACTACATAGTTGGTTGTTCGATATCGTATTTTCTGAAATATACTTGTCTGTAAATAATTAATTAGTGAGAATACATTGACCTCCTTGTTCAAGCGCTTTATTATTATTTATATTTTGTTAATTTATTTGTCTTATTTTGTTTAAATCGTTAGATATAGTATATTATGATAATTTCAATTGAATAAACTGCATTACATACATTCATATGTGCTGAATTTTCAATTTCTTATATCGACGAGAAAGCACACCATTGGAAAAAGATTTATATTAAGAGTACAAAAGAATTTATTAAAATTCTTTTAAAATACTTTCTATTCTCTTTGTTAATGAATAAATTCTTTTCTAAAACAATTGTCTGATTTTTTTGTTTCAGGTACAATGGCAGTAGTTAGTTTACTAACAGGTGACTTTCTTGATAGAGTAATTCATTTGAAGGCTGACAGTAGTAAGTTTAATAACTTTCATTGAAGTAACTTACTTGTTAAACATAAGTATGTTCTTTAATAAATATTATGTTGTTATGGATAATACTTAATAGAAGTAACCCATGATGTCATTGAAGAAGGATTAGAACGGTGCAGCGAAGAAGATTTCATTTTAATTATTCCCGGATATTATATATATATATTTATTTAAATGATAGATGAAATCTGTCCCAATCTTTTTATCCACAATGTAATGAATCGCAATTTATATGTCCGTAAGATCCATGATCAGTAAAACTGCTCTCTCAAAGATTTTTAAATGCCATAGTGATAAACAAAAAACCTGAAACATGATCATAAATTCCTAACTGTTTGCTCACAATAATTGACTAATAGAATAAAAAAAAGACTAAAGTGTGTTACATATAATTCTGTTAAGATTTTACACTTTCTTACAGTTCCTTGTTACGATCCTAGAAGTTGACCACCTTTTCTTAAACTAACCTTTCAATATGTGATGTCAGAATACTATTATTAAACACCTTGTTTATAATGAACCCATCAGTTATAGTAATGGTGTGGTGCGTGCTACTTATATTAACATAAGTAGTATATGATGTTAGTCGTGAACAGAATGTCTGGCAGCAGAGAGACAAGAGGATCAAACAGTAAAGAATGGAAACAGAATGGAATTTGTATGAAAATGGAAGAACAATGAAGTCTGGGTCATTTTGAGACAGTCGATAGACATTTTGCAAATTAAGGATTTACTTTATGGTTGTTAGATTTTATTAACAAGCCCTGTAATTTCGCGTTTATTACTTTCGATCGTTCCCCACTAGTGCTCTGTTCATTACAATGATACTACAGGTTTAAGTTTGATTTTTTAAAATCAGATATTCATAGAATTAAAACTATCTTGTCACTGAGCAATACTGACAAACTTTAAATATGTAGCGAAACCAATCCTTCTTTGAACAGTTTGTATTAGAAAAGCTGTTCAATTATTTTAAAAATAAACTGTTGAAAAATGACATGCAAAAGGCGGTCTGTAAATCTTAAGGTTACCAGTGGAGTTTCAGAATAGACTATTGAAAAACCGTTGCTATATTGAATTAGCTATGATACTGAATAAAACCTAGGGACAAAGGTTTTCTTACTAAATATTTTCTTGTTAAATACAAAGATCAGTTCCGATATTACTGAAATAGCACAATAACAAATTTACTTTGCTTCTATAATCTATAATCTGATGAAAACGATAACAACTTCTGTCATTAATAATAAGTAGTATATTTAAAACATAGATAGGTTGAAAAAGCACCATATTTTGTCGTCATGTGAAATAGTTTATTTACTGAAGTTTAACTTGGTATTTGATAACACTTTTGGTTTTAGAGTTAACGGACTATTATTGTTAGTGTTTCTACGTTCAAATGTTTTGAAGGATAATTAAATATCATTTTAAATATATCATTAACAGCCTAACGGTCATTTTTTATTACGAGTGTAATTTATTTATAATGATTCATTTATTACAAATTAATTAGATTCATAATTTATATACTTTAGTTCAATGTAACTTTCAAATTGTATTCTGTTATATCCCAACGAGAATTATGAATGGTAACTTTTGAGAACTATTTATGGACCAATACGATACTTATATTCTTATTGTTTAGTTGTTAAGTAATCGCACTATGCATATTTGCGTTCCTCTTATTATAAGCTTTATTTTGGCTCATATACTATTGTTATACGATTTACCGTTCTTAAGTTATACCCAATTTATTAATTAGTCTCCCATATTCATAGACGCACTTTCGGCTAGATCATTTTGTGGTGCAATGTGGTCTGTTTGGCTTGTATGTTTGAAATACATGATTCATATCACGGAGGCTGAGATCGGTGTTCTTGACTTAACAGACAGAGCTAGGCTAGAAGAATCTATAAGGCTGTAGAGTGCTCGTACGGGTTTTACGCGTCATTGTTCGGGTCAATAAATCACTTTTTCCTAATTGGCGGTATCATTAGGTCATATTTTAATAGAGCACAAGGGCACAAGTTACAACATATTCCTATGTATGATTATACTTATAATGAATTTAAATATCTTAATAATTTTATGATTTTTTATTGATATCATGTTTATTTCCAGTAAAATCAGCGAATGAAGCATTATATGGTAATATGACTCATAATGACACTTCATTACATGATGCAGAACAATTCAGAATTCCTTATGCATTAGCATTAGGATTTTCAGTAGGCATTGTACAAGTAAGATAAAATGCTTCATTTATACAATATTTATTTATATTCTTTTAAAAGCATAAGGTAATAAGCGTTAGGAATTCTCTTATTCTGTATTATTCACTTAATCATCTAGTATGTGTAGTTATCTTATCAGGCTACTCAAAATAATTTGTATTTTTAAAGATCAGTGTTCCTTTGGCTAATTTTAAAACTAGTTGGAAGATCTAGATGTGCCATAAATTTATCACAGTGGTTTAAACCAGTTTTTATACAACCCGCTTATTAGACAAATGGTCAACCAGCCATAGATCTCATTTAATAATAATTAAAATCAATCTTGAGGTGTTTTTAATACTACTGAAACATCCTTCAGTCTTGTACTGAAATTAGACAAATATATCATTAGATCAATTTGTCTAGTTATCATTGCTGAGATTTCAAATTAGATTTTAATATTTACACTTTTTTTATTACTTGATGATAACCATTATCAATGTTGGTTTAGCCTTTACTTCTAGTAGAAACCTCTCATTCGCGTTTCATTGTGTCCAGTAGTATATCTGACACGAATAAAAGTGCACAGTTCTAGACGGTTGTAGTTGATAAGACTTTCTACAGACTATCTCATTGCAATCAAATAAAATCACAGTATTACATAATTTTATTTATTAATTTATAAGTCATTTAAGATACAGTTATAAATTTTTATCAAAGATGTATAAATATTGGCCTTTTATTTTGGTAATTTTAGCTTCTAATGGGATTATTCAGATTAGGTAGTTTAATCAGATACTTTTCTGTACCGATGACATCTGGTTTCACTGTTGGAGTAGCTGTTCATGTATTTACAACTCAAGTAAAGAATGTACTAGGTTTAAAATTACCCCGGTTTCCTGGTCTTTTCACTATACCATACGTGAGTTTGATACAATTTGATTAATTAAGAAAATTCAGCATTTTTCACGCTGTTTTTAATTTTGATACTGTACTGTATTAAAAATAAATTATTGATTATAAAGCGTGAGCTCTTCAAATTTACCAACTCAGACTAAAGCTCAAGGCCATTTTGACAGAATTGTTAATAAAGTTTCATAATTTTATATTATTATTACTTTTCGAAGCGAAAGGAGTAATGACAAATAGGGTCAATAAAAGACTATTGTTTTTCTTCATCATAAATTTGGAACTCATATGTTAGTTGTTATCCTAGCCAAACTTGTATTGAATTTCATTCAATTGATTAGCTTACTTTTAAATTACCATAACCATTTTATCTGTATTTGTTTCCGATAAGGTAATATAAGTTAATCTTACTGAATTGCAATTTTTAGTGTATCACTCCGATGTACAATACTAAGCATAGAATTCTGATTGGTAAATCCTGCAGTTTGTTACAAAAATATATCAAAAAAATTAGCTATCAGCTTTAAAGTTTATGACAATAACACTCGTGAGGTGTAATGTTATCTAATGTATACAAGAGTACCTCAGTCTGTAATAGTTATTTCGTTACTTTGAGGTGAATATAAACGGCACAGTTCGTGTTTGAGTCTATGAATTATTCGAATACTGAGTTATGTTTTGTGCGAATAGATGACTTATAAATAAACCACAGGAAGAATAAATTTAATTTTTGACTTTTAATACACTTTCATTCAAACTACAAATGTTTCCTGCCTAAAATTTGACAGTTGTCTACAAAACTGTAACAGTTAGTCATATAATATGAAGTAAATTTATTTTATTATCCTGTAGAAACCAATAGCAGTTATGTCAATTAATAACAATCTGTCTAATCCACATAAAACTGCCCATTTTTAATTATTCAATCGTTCGATATAATGTGTTGGAGTTACATAATACTGTTAAATTATTTACCAGTATATTATATGGTGCAGTAAAAATCTTAATGAATTTTTGTAGTAGTGACAAATTAAGTATTTATTTTTGTTTAAATTGTATTGACTTAAACCGAAATGTAACTACAAACTAAAGAAAAAGTATTCTCTGTTTACTAGTAATGGTAATTGATTGAATGTCCTAGACCTAGGTTATTTAATTCATGACTGTGCACTAATACCTGACTAACAGAATAGAAGTTTCTAAACTATCTTTTTAAATCAATATATTTTAATCTCCATGGAATTAAAAAAATGTTTAATATCAGCTCTAATTTGTTTCAAAACTACTATGAGATAAACATACTTTAGTATAGTCTTATTTAGGAAAAGTGTAGTTAATATCTTTCTTCGTGCAAATGAGAACGAGCTTTATTTGTATGCATTTTTTCGATTAAATAGACATACTATGAAATATTTCGTACTATTCAACATACCAACATACCGACAATGTTGATGGCTGGCGCATGTATAGCAATTTTGGCTGTTTACAAAGAACGGATTAGTCCAGTTGTTAAGAAAATTTCATTTATTCCTCTTCCTATAGATTTAATTATTGTGAGTTGAATTTCCAATTTTTTAAAAATACTGAATCGTTTTTTTAATATTAATTTTAAATACTCTAGAGATAGTCGAATTCGTGAGTCACTTAAAACTACACCACCATGGAGAACCTGGAAGCATTAGACGGCCAATTCTTCCTAGTATGGGGCTCGTCCACGATCTCGCCCTGCAGGAGACAATGGTGGACAGTGGCGCGATTTCCTGGATTGGTTAAAGTTAGACATTAGCATTGTTGTTTGCCGGCTCAGAAGTCTAGAGCTCAAGCGTTCACGCTGAAGACCGATATGTCCCAGGTTTGAATCGCGCGGGGCGGGATTGTGAACGCTCACTGCTGAGAAGTCCTATACTTCCAGGTTTTTTATGGTAGTCTAGCTGTAATTGACTCATGAATTCAACTATTAAATTACGGATGTATCCACAAAACCCCCTTCTGATAATACTCTAGAAATACTTGATAACGGAAATCATTTTGGATAGAAGGCAATCACTTATACTCAAGTATCTGGAACTTTAAAATTAATAGAATTACATTGTAGACGAATAGATTAAGTAGAAAACATTAAACTGTTTATTAATTGAAATCCAGCCCTTCAAGATCATATCTCTAGATTGTCAACATTTTCTTCGCTTGAGATAATATTGATAATAATAATTCACCAAGAATAGTTCCTTAAGTTTTAGTAAATCAATGTAAATTAACTGTCTGAATAATTATCATAACAAAAATTATCTTTCTAGTTATAATCTACCTACCTGTAAAACTTTCCAACCATTATTTAAATCATAAATTTTTAAAAATCTTTGTGGATTGAAATTGTATATACCCATGAATGTAAACATGAAAGGCTAACGTAGATGAACTATTAATCTGAAAGCAAATCACTACATATATATATAAATTATTCATTAGTTACATAACAGATTTTAGATTGTTATAAATAGGTAGAATTATCCTTTATTATCAGCGAACTGAAGTATGAACGTTTATCTAAGAATCCAGACTAATATTGATCTTTAGACTTTCATGTTGTATTCATTATGTCTTCATAACCTTCAAGTATATATATATATATGGGGCACCGAAGTGGTTAAAGTATAGAAGATGTGAGAAATTCATAAATATGCTGTGCGATAAAGCTTAATAACAAAAATGAATTGTTTAAAAGGTAATTTATATTCGAGTTAATTACATAATTTTAACTGTCTAGTTGAAATGAATACTGCTTCAGTATTCTTTTAAAGTATCATTTTAAAAAGCATAAACATTTTGGTTTTTATATTCATTAATCAAAACTTAGTTAATAATTAGGATATAAAATTGTAGCTTTTTACAGATCATTTTAAAATAAGCCAAACATGATATGATAGCAGTCATAAACAAAATCATGTTTGAAGTAACGTGAGGTATAGATTACTTATAGTAAGTTGGGTTTTTATATCGGAAATATAACATTTTATCTTATTGATATCAAGTAATCAGATCGTATTTGGATTGTTGACCAGTTCTATTTGTTATATTCACTTATTATACTTAAATTATTACTAATTATTCTATACCACAGGTTATATTGTCAACTATTGTTTCATATTCAGTTGATTTACACGATAAATATGATGTTAAAATTGTTGGTGAAATATCGAAAGGGTAAGATATTTTATAGTTCTCTTCATAGAAACGTGTTTGATAACAAGAAATGTTTATTAAAACTAACGATTATAGTTTTTTCTTGGTTTATTTCAAGTAGTTGTTTATCAAGTCCTATAGATAATTAAACCCTTTCCTTGATTTCTCATGTTTTCAGCACCTTTCAAACATAATTCACAAATAAATTGTTTAGTATTTGAAAAAGATCCTTATTAGCATAGTATGTTTCTTGATGTTAGTTCAAATAGGTTCAATTTGATTTGAAGCATTATTTTACAGTTATTTAACATTTGGTTTGATTTTACATTGACGGATAGATTCAACATAAAATTTCAGACTATGGTGTGCTAGAATGAAGCTTTCAATAAAGTCCTAAATGGTTTTTCTCTTCAGTCAATCTTCAATTATAATGAACAAACGCATCAAGTTTTTTCAGTGCAACTGGGAGCCCACCTGATGTTGATGCTTGAAAGATCCCATGAATTGAACGACCTATTACTTTTAATAACTTCGTCACTGACCTATGGAGTCAAATGTTTCAAACATAAAACCAATCTTTTATTTTACTCAAGACAGTGTAGATAAAGAAATGGATACACTAAAGAACAATCTATAAAGCAGTAGTTGTCCAGCTTGGTCAAAAAACCGAAGAATAGGATAAAAGCTTACACAGTCAGCAAGAAAGCTCTTGATCCAAAACTAAATTATAAATGGAACATGGTGGTTGACCTCAAAAGATCAAGTATAAGATACCGATCATGAGCTCTTCCATATGCTATTACCAATTTATCTACCGTTGCGGGGCCAGTTACAAGGGCGTACTCAGAATTATTTTTCTTTGAGTATTCGTTAACATGTATCGGAATGGTTGGGACTTGAGGTGACGGGATCGATCAACAAGGTCATTATTTCTCGCGTGGCATATAGTAATCATATCATATTAATAAATGAAACCATTTGATTTCATACCAATTCCAGAACAACCTTCTCAAATGTAAAAGATTACGCCAATTCTGCATAACGGAAGCCAGTAAAATCATCACCAGGAAACCAAACGTGCACAGCCAAAAGAGATATATTCTATGTGTACAGTGGCTCACAATGAGGTTACTCCATGCTTAATATAAATATATATATAATAAACCCTTATCCACGATTCTTCTGTTATCTGTATCTTTTCCATATCTTAATTTGCAGATTCATTTCTCTTAAACAACATGAACTTAAGATTTTAATTCTTTGTTCTCTTATTATACATTACACTGACATGACCAGATTGTTATCAATTAATGATAACTAAAGTCATTTTATTAAAACTCAACACACAACAAATAGTTTTCATACACTCGTTTTAAAATGACCCTACAAATTTACAAATGACATATCTAAAACGTAAAGTTGGCTTAGCGGACACTGTGAAATTTTCGTGATTTAAGATCAGATCGTGATTTAAACTATGAACACTAAGGATATATTTAATCCGTAACCCATGCATTTTTTAGTTTACTTATTTACGTATGTTTTATCTTGGCTACAAGAATTACAGACTTCTGACGAAGTCATTGAGAATAGTTGTTGAGTTAAATATCTTTCGTTCTTTAATAATCTATAGAGGTCTTCTGACTATTAAGAATAAGTAGTCTCTGTTCACTATCCGAACATTATAAATCCAAACCTTTACAAATATTAAAGCTCACTTCTTGTTGATATTTACATTATAACTATGGACTAAACTGTAACTAACTGCATGTAGAGCAATTTTCTGGTTGTCGTTTTTAAGCGATATTTTATTTACGGAACGGGTTTGCTAACCCTATGCCCAACCTTACTCCTTTAACCGGCCTAGTGACTTTGAAGAGCTCTGAGAGGAATTGTGCATAACAATTTAGGATATGCAAATACATAACTTTTAAAGCAATTTAACAAATTTAAGTAATATCTAATCAGATCCTCTTAAATGTGAATTTACAGTAAAAATGGCATTCTATATAAAATATTCCGACTGATAGGCTTCCATGAAATTAAACATTTCTGTGAAACAATAAATTCAGGAATTTTTGGCCATTTTCTTGTTTCACTAATGACAAAAAGTTCTTAAAATAATAGTGTGACATTCTAAAATTTCACTAACCATCCAATAATGTTAATCAAATGTTGTAATTTACCATTTGTTTTGTCAAAACTTGTCGTTACAGTTATATTCATATTGAAATCAAATAAACTTAGTACAACTTCCCTTCACAGACATCAAAATTGTTTTATCTTACTAAGTGAAGGAAGCACTTCAGTACTGTTAACTCTATTAACCCAAATAAACATTTCATAATATCATCAGGAAAACATATATTTTTATGTATTTCCATAGTTTACTGGCTCAAGAAAAGATATTTTTAGTATATTACCAATCTTAATAAAACATTCAAGTAGTTGCTTCTGATAACCTTAATTAAATTGGATGTGAGCAATATTGTAGTGGATCAATAATTTAATAGATTATTATTATTATTACGGTTATGTAAAAATGGTAGTCTTTATATATAATTGTTGTACTATTCTAAAAAATATGATCATTTTATCAGACCAAATCTAGATCCTTTGAATGGATATGTATTTAAAAATAGTATGAAACAGAACAATATAAGAGCCTAAACACTTCAAAACAGGTAGAAAGTAGTACGATGAAGCTGTAAAATCTGATAATTAAATTAAGAAATATAAGAAATAATTATGGTATTTTTCAGATTGATAAGGAATCATTATTCAATGACACGGACAATGAATTCATCAAAATGATATACATATGTTGAGTAAAAAAGTGAACAAGACTTTCATTATCTTGTGTAAGCTTATGTTACACAGTTATTTGATGAAGTTAGAGAGTTTAGTAAAATGGTATTTGGGATAATTAAATGACAATTAGTAGTAAATAATATTTTAATATCATTAATGATGATAATATAACGACAGAGTATTGTCACTTGATAAATAGAAAGATCCAAGTGTTTGAATTAACCTCATAAAAACTTATGAACTAGTGAAATTATTTATATGAACAATTACAAACTTGATTTTCACAGGTCAGTAGATTAACTGCTCAAAGAATAGTTTCTTCTCATAATAAAATAGTCTTCATAAAATCCAAAATCAGATTAATTCTCTTTGTCTAATACGATTTCTCAATATCATTTTATTTCAGAATTCAGTATCCAGAAGTACCGGATATCACGTTAATGGGTCCACATATTGGTGACAGTATTATTTCAGCAGTTATTGGTATTTCAGTTAGTGTATCCCTTGCACGAATATTTGCAACACGTTTTAACTATAAAATCAATACTAATCAAGTAACCCGACATTTTTAAAGAGTGTTATATCATTTCAACTTATAACAAATTGTTTAATTAACTAATCCTTTACAATCCATTTAAGTTTTTACTTGAGCAGAATACTTCCAAACTTGATGGTAACTTCATTAGCTTTATAATCAAGTAAAAATGTCAAATGAAAAAATCGTATTTAACTAATATCGTATGATGGATTTCAATTTGACTGCTAGTTATATTAGTCTTGAAATTAGAAGCTTGCTATTAGTTTAATTTGTTTAGCTGGAAAATCGAACTTTCCAAGTTCAGCTGCCTGTAGAATGGATAAAATGCAATACAAAGGTTCGTCATAGAAAAAGTAGGAATCAGTTCAGATTAACATATTTTACACTAACACGAGGACAGAAAATCAATACATCTGAAATGCTTCTATTATCAGTAAAAGATAGGAATCTAAACAAAGAATGCAGTCAGAAAAGAGGAAGTAGAATTGAGAATTATAGCGTGTGAAGTTATAATAAGACTGGAAACTCAGAAAAGTATCAATAGCAAATGAATCTGTGAAACTGTACCCGACTTTGAACAAAATGGCATTTGTCTTAGATAACATAGTTCAACAGCAACTGAGTTTTTATAAGCTTTTTAGTTTGTTTCGTTCTTAACCAATTACCTTTTATCAATAATCAAATAATCATTGATAGTTATGTACAAAACATTTCAGCAGGTGAATATTTACAAACATTTTTCTCTTTAAATAAATAGGTTACATTGTTTAATTGTTTTAGTTATACAAACTCATCTGCTCATGTTCTTTTTTTAAAAAGTGCTACCATAATTATATTCAGATTATTATAAACACACATTTGTTGTATCGTAAATACATTCTAGGTTGATGTACCTAACCAAATTATTGACAGTGATTACAAAATAGCACATTACAAGACAAGTTCGATGAATGAGGAAGATAGAAATGAAAATAATGAAGATATGATCACCTTCTATTTAGAATATAATATTTACTACAAATTAGCACAAACAGAACTACCATAATTAAAACATACCAATCCAAATAATCAACTATGTTTTCTTAGATGAAACTAAGGTCTCATTAAATTGGTATGTAGTTTGACAATGAATGACGAAATGAAATAAGATCAATCGATTTTATGTCATTCAATCTTCTTAAGAGCTAAAATCTATCTTATTTGAACACAAATTGTAACAAATGTTCGTAATAAGATATAAATCATATGAAAGTTAAACAGTCTCTTAGTACTTTCTTCATATCAAGATCAACAGTTTTCACAAGAGGTTTACACAAATAATTCTTAATTTCTGAACAATGAAACATCAAAACAGTTAGTTGTTTGGATCTTTGATTTTTGAATCTTTTGATAGATGTGTTAGGACTGTAATTGAACAGTCACTTTTTGGCATTCGTGAATCCCATGTGAATAGCCTTAATATTGTCAATAAGTCAAAAGCTTTTGGAGCGGAGGCTAGTAGTGGAATCAAGGACATGAGTTTCGTTCTTCTTATGACTCATCAGCTAAGTGGATAATGGCATGGCATCTGGATAGAAAGGTACTGGCTTCAAGTCACAGAGTGAACATCAACTTTGAACTCTAGGTACATACAACTAACTTGTCCCAAATACAACGAAACTCTCGTCCTGGATTTCACTACAAACAACTATACATCTCTGCTTATTGGTTGTTTGGTTTTCTTTGCTACAAATGGATAATTAAAAAAACTATTTGAAGTTGGAAGAAAAATGTATTTTGAAAGAACATTGTTTAAACGCATAGCGGGATAATAAGAAACTTTTTAAAAAGCCTTAAAGGTATTGACCACTAATGATTAATCGTACTGTTTTGATGCTGGCCATATTTCGACTTCAAAAGATCCTACATAGAAAAATGGAGCTGAGATGTAACCATGATTATCTAGTTCTAGAAATATAAGGCTGCACACCATAAATGTAATGATTTATCCGACCATAAAATGCCAAAGTACTTCCAAATTCCGTTCGTTTTTGTTGAGAAAAATTGCTTTAGTGACATTGACTGTTTTATCACTGAGTACCCTATGACCTCCTATGTTTACAAAGTTTAGTCAGTGTTATAGAAAACTATAAAAAAAGCAGTGATATAACTATTTTACAGATGACCTTAAGTGAATTTTCAGTCACTTGAAAAGCAGTTGATATGAAAGAATTATGTTCTTGAGAATACACAAAACGTTAGAATGTAAAAGTAGTTTCTATGTGGTTAATATATGTATAAAGATTCGTAAAAGGATCAGCTGTAAGTGATATATAATAATAATTAATGACCTGTCGAAATGACTTCATCCCATATTACTTTAAGTCTTTATAATTCTGAAGATAGTCCCATAATTGTGACCACGTTGCATAAACTCTAGAGTGGACATAATTTATAGCATCAATGAAATAACGCATACAAACGATAATCAGATAATCATAACCTTTCGGCTCTCCAACTTTCTACAGAGATGATAGTCGTTGAATAATTTTTCTGTTAGATTATTAACTTTTAATGGTCTTAACAGACACAACAAAATTTCTTTTATTATTTTCTAAATCGTATCATGTGCACTCAATGAGTGACTAACATTTCAGATGCAATCTAAATCATCAGCAAAAATGTTTTTTTGTAAATTAACTTTCATATCATGTCTTATTCATCATATAAGTGCACAGTAGTTACATTTATAAACTTTACGCGTTTTCAGATAAAGATCTAATTAACATTTACTCAACTTGGGGGGGGGAGTTGAACTCCATACAAAAATTCAAGAAGCCCTAATTTAAGTCCGAATATTTTAGAAAGTTACATATAAAAATATAACAGCAAAATATTTCATTTACTTGTACAAGTCAGTCTGATTGTAGATGATTTGGGCTATACCGAATTTAATAAATTCACTTCATTTCACAATGTTCATCATCCTTGTTGTACAGCATTTTATCAAGGAAACTACTTAAATGGGGTAGATCTGATTCATTTATCCATAAAATATGGTTCCATAGAAATGATTTTTCAAGGTAATACACTAATCATTTTGTGATAAGTTATAGAAAGCCATAAACCTCTTTCATTGGTAAGAAAATAAAACCTTCTAACATGATAAAAATGATCAACAGATATTTGTTTTGAATTTTCGAAAAAAGAATCGTTTGAAATTATCCACGATTAATATATTTCTTTACTCAAATATCAATTAACAAAGCAATATTTCGATATTCTCAATCTAGGAGCTTATTGCTTTCGGAGTGACAAATGTAATCAGTTCATTTTTTCATGGATATCCAGCGGCTGCATCATTATCTCGATCTGCTGTTGCCGTATCTGCTGGTGGACGTACACAGGTTGCCAGTCTTTTCTCATGTTTACTACTTATACTGGTTTTGTTCTTTATTGGACCACTACTTTTTTCCGTGCCCATTGTAAGTTGAATGTAATTTAGTTAGAAAAATGTTCTCATTGATATAATAACAATAGAATATATGATTATAATGAAAGATATAAAAAATGTAGTATTCAATCTGAATTATAGTAGATACTTAGCTAACTGTATCACTAATGATCTTAAACTGAATGTCAAAGCACATGTAATACATAATTATGTAGGTCATAAAACTTCTAACCTATTCTAGTTTGTGTTAGTTTCAAAAAAATTCTAAATCTTTCACACAGTGTGTTTTCGTGATCCAATCTCTTGAGCATACCACGTGAAAATAACATATTCTAACATAATCACAGTTTAGATACTGAATTTATTCAAACTTAATAAAAGAAACGATTATTAAATGATCAGCTTCATCTTTGATTAACAATAAATCTTACAACTCTATAAAGCTAAGTTAACTACATAAATTTCTGCTTAGAATTCTTAATTCAAGTAAATATCTCTTGCAATGCAATAATAGGCTTTTAGAGTAATTTGGTGAAAAACTGTCTAATATTTTGAAACTTTAAGTGGTGAACTTGAGTCTTTTTGGTAAGGATATGGATACATCAGAACAAATCGATGTCATTTGAAAGTGTTCGAAAATGATTACCAACCAAGAATGAAGAATGTATGTTATTCATTAAAAAATAAACTGTAATTTACTTAGAATTATTACCAATATATGAATACATCTTAAAGATCTTTATATTATAAGAGAACTAATACCTACTTCTTCGTTATGAAATCATATATTGTCCCTTTCCCTTACCAGTTTTTTTTGTTGTTTTGTTTTTCATTTGTCCTAAAGTTCTGCTTATCGGCAATCATTATTGTTGCTATTAAAGGAATGTTTATGGAAGCAAAAGATTTAGTAATGTTTTGGAGATTTTCTCCATGGGACAGCGTAAGTTTCAGTGATGATTTTAACAATAAATTATGTAATTTTTTTTCTCATTATCAGTAACGACAAGACAATTTTCATCGATTTTACTAGTAATGTGATTATGATTGGTATTAATCGAATTATATTCAACTACAAGGGTCTCATTACTTTAGTTGATTTAATTACGAAGGCATGTAACAAATCGATTCCATTTCACCTGGTGAATTTTCATCGACATAATGAAATAAAGTCATATAAACTTCTTGAACTGATCAAGTTTGATACAGTAAATTTAGAACTTGCTTACCTCTACATTTCAGTGAAATATTATTAGTTTAGGGGTTGTGGAGATCATTAAGTTTTTTTTATTGAGATCATGAACCGATTGATGTTAGACTACCATTGAAAACCTGGAAGCACTGGACGGCCGCTTCGTGGATAAGCACTGCTGAGGAGTCCCACAGTAAGACGAAACGGTCGTCCAGTGTTTCCAGGTTTTCAATGGTGGTCTAACATCAATCGGTTCATGATCTCAATCAAAAAAAGAAAGATTATTGTTAAACATAAAGTGAAAAAATAAATAATGTAGTTACAATGAATCATTGCTCAATATGGGTAAAGTGATTACGTTCTTATGGATTAATACTATTATATATGATCTTGATGAATGTGAGATAAAGTGAATTTACACTCTTTCAAATTTTTATTATAAATAACTTCTTATTTTGAATACATTCAACGTTGAATGTTAATGTTCACAGTACACTATTAAAAATATTCACTAACAGATCAATAAATTTTTCAAGTACAAATAGATTTTCTGTGGTATACTAGTCATTTAGTTTTATGCGAATTAATAAACAATTTTCTCATCTTACTTATAAGAAAAGACAACTGTAAATAGGGTTTGCTAGTTTCTAGTTCATTTCTTTTAACATATTGAAATATCCCGACGAGAATTATGAATGGTAACTGTTGGAATCTATTTATGTTATAATACTATATGTTTTTATTGTGTAATTGTTCAACAACTAAACCATGAATATTTATATTCCTCATATTATAAGCTTTATTTCGACGCGTAGACTATCATTATACGATTTAACGTTCTTGAGTTATGTCCAGTTCATTAATTGGTCTCCCATATTCACAGCCAATTTTGGCTAAATCTTGTACAAATGTTATTTTCCATTGTATGGTACGATGTGGTCTGTTTAGCTTGTACATAAATCCAGTATGTTTGAAATACACGATTCATAACGCGGAGACTGAAAATGGTGTTCTAGATCCAACAAGAAGATCTAGGCTGGATGAAGAACCGATAGGGACTCTAAACTGCTCGTACGGGTTTATGCGTCATTGGTCCGGTAAATAAGTCACTTTTCTCTAATTGACGGTATCATTACGTCATATATTATTAGAGCACAAGGTCACAAGTTATAGCACATCTTTTCGCATGAATCCTACTAATATATCACGACTGCTTAACAAAGAGTCAAGGCATTTGTACATTTGTAAGAAGAAACAAACTGGAGTATTACAGACGAATTTCAAACATAGGGACTACAGTTTTTGACTAGAATTTTCAACTTTGTGTACGTTACGTGTTTCAAACTGTTAGTGAAAATTAGAAGGTACAAAATAGACTATACCTACCATAACAGGTATAAACTTTCCATCAAAGTTTATGTAATAGTATAAATGATTGACTGTATAATCTTTATAAATGATATAATTGATTTAGAAATTGTTATATATAAGGATGTGTTACCGTAAAACCAGATGATCATGTTTATTAAAAATGATATTCATCGCCAACATAATGTCATGACCTCCGGACTGAAAATTCCAATTATTTACAGAAACTTAATAATACTCATCTAAATTATATATCTATTACATTTCGATTAATTTATGTATAAATAAACATATCCAGATTCATGATATAAAATGAAAAGATTAGTAGATTTCTGGGTGGTTTAAATCTTGAAACTCAGCACCACTAGATCTTACAAATAATGTAATATTCTATTATATTCAATAATGGCACGAAGTAAGGTTTATAAAAACGTCATTTTCTTTTATTTTAAATACTATTACCTTCAAAATACTCCTAATTTCTTACAATACATTTGTAATATTATTTTTCTTCTGCTCAAAACAACCCAAGGAATCCTTAGAACTCAGATTTTCTAGTTGTTGCTCTGTTACCCCTTTGATTACCTCAATTTCATTTTCAAATGACTATTCGGTATTTCAAAAATAGTAATAAATCAAATACGGCCAATTCTAATACATCAGGAAAATGATCTATCATTATGGTTGAATAACTATAAATATTGTAAAATAATGTTTTAATGATTTCCATTTTAGTGTTTATTGAATAAATGTAAGAAATCTCCGATTCCGTTGATTAACAATCTATGAAATGAAACTGACTCAGGGTGATGAACATTTGAGTACATCAATATTTGTTATATTCATAGCTAACAAACTTAGTAGCTCAGTTTACACATTTATTGAATTAATCATATATTTTATTTAGAACAGTTCTGATAAATTCACTTGGTATTGTTTTTACTTGAATCTTCACATTGATGTTTGTGACTGAAATTAATCAGTCTCTTATCGGCATATGTGCATACTGTGCGTATTGCCTCGATATTGCCTTAATTTACAAGCATTATAAGCAAAGATGAATAGTGATTAGCAGTAGAATCCAGTTTGACACGCGTTTCATTCTATTTGGGACTCGTCAGCTTGATGTACCTGCATCTCAGAGTTGATGTTCACTCTGGCAAATTATATATGATCACCTCATAAGTAAATCAGTTGATGAGGTTGTAAATCTTCGTCAACCGAGATGGTTGGGTCACGTGTTACGTATGTCTGAACACCGACTACCACGACGCGCAATGCTGACTAGTGTAAGGGATGGTTAGAAGAAAGTTAGAGGTGGCCACATCAAAACGTGGCATCAGTCCTTGAAGTCACTAACTTCTAGTCTGAACCATGTTGGTAGATGCAGACTACTTAGTTGGAGTCCGCGTGACTATCGTAACCAATGGTTGGAGATTCTGGGTGACATGTCTCAGGACTGACCACAATGGCGTAGGTGTATACAGTCTTTGTCTTCCCCTAAACTATGAGATTAAAATCGATTCATATCTTCTTCTACGAATTAATTCTTTCTTCATGTACTATATCCTTATATGTAATCTTTCTTTTGAAATAACTACTTCTATGAATCCGGTGTTTATCTTGCTGTGTTAATGGGGTATGGCAACTTGGAACGCAGCATATATGTGCCTGGTCTTACGTTGTAGCTGAATGACTGACCATTTATTTACTTAAATTAATAAAATGTACTTATTTACGTACTGAAATTAAAAACATGTATGTTTTTTTCCCATTTATATGCTTTCGATCAATCAACTTAATGTAAAACCGAAATTTTCTGATAATTTTATCTTGGCACAAAATACATGAGCATACATTTTCCTGGATTAGTATTAATGGAAAAGTCATTTTTATTTCCTTTTCATAGGTTCAAAACATTCTAAAATGTTTTAACTTATGTTGTATATTATTTAAATAAAATTAGTGATAAGACGTTTAACTTACCCCTTTATATGTGTACATTTATTTTATTTTTAGGCAGTCTGGATATTTACATTTCTATGCACAGTATTGCTTAGTGTAAATTATGGTCTTCTATTAGGTATCATAATCTCTGTTGGAGTTGTTGTATTACGAATACAATGGCCTAAAATTCACAGTTTAGAACAAATTCAAAACACAGAAATCTATCGAAACAGTAGAGATTATACAAATGTAAGTGTTATGTACATAATCAGTTTATATTACATATTGTTTTATTATTTCATTTGAATATCAGTAATAATTGTCATTATTAGGTCAGATATTCGATAATTATGTGACGAATAAGCGCCGAAATTCATTTAAATTAAAAATATATAATTGGAAAACCGTGAACCTATGATGATATTCTTAAATTGTGATGAAAACAGTCAAAAGAGAAAAAACTTCGAAAAATATATCGTAAAGTAATATATAGTGTCTGTGCTTCGTTGACCAATCACCCTCTTAACCGTTACCATATAATCTTCAACGGTGTTTAAAATCAGAAGGCAAAGAGAAGCAGCGACTACAGTTTTATTAGCAGGTAACTTAGACCACAAAGCCGAGAGGCAAATGAATGAGTTGGCGAACCGAGAGTGTATAGTGCTAAATGTACATGTATATATATATATATATAGGGAAACGAATGGATCATCGAATCAATTAAGCAGTTAATAATAAAGCTAGCAAAATGAATATATGCGTAGGCGGTAAGCAATGTTCAAGCATACATATTTCATACAAGCACAACAATAATAAAGATACAATGAGTTATTATAGTACGGATGACTTTTTCCGGTAAATAAGTTAACAAAAGAGCTTAACCGAGTTAAATGAGAGCAAACTCTATAAGTCTTTAATCTAGTGGTATCACACTCACTTCGTGATCTAAAGCTTCATGATTTAATCCCATGTGTGGAAGCAGCATTGAGGAGTTTTAAACTAGTCGAAGTTGTCATCCCTTGTTTTATTGCTGATTTCAGTGTATCACAAGTCATTATTCAGGATCTTATCACTGATCCCGAAATTCAAAGTTAAAGGTGAATATTAAGATTGTATAGTAATTTGTACAATATTTAAATTATTATCAAAGGGAGTAGAAGATCTGACTAATGCAAACTAAACTCCAAATTATATTTTCATATGACACATCGAAAAGTACATATAATCTAATCATATTATTCTGTATTTTATGTAATGATGGATAGTTTTTTTAAAACAACCAATACTGTGAATTTTCAGCAAATCTGAATAATGTACAAGCAGTCGAAATCTCGAAATAAAACCATTAACAGCTATACCGAACATAAAACACTAAACGAAGATTTTTTGTTTTGATAGAACGTAATAATATGATTAACTAGTCGAATTTATTACTTTATTGAAAAGTTTTGTCCATGTCTACCTTTAAGCATCATCTAATAATATTACAACACATAGCTCGTGGAATGAGAAACCAAATGTTAGATCAGTGTATTAAGATTCAATTGACAGACTATATTAATAGTAATCACATTTCTATTCTGCAAAATTATTGAATATATATTTAGGCTTACTCTGAGTTGAATTTTACTTTGCCACCAATGGGGTGAACACTCCTGAGTCATATCAAAGTAAAACGAAACAGTATTTTTTTAAACCTTAGTTGCTTATCAATGATTTTGTAGTGAAGGAGAACCGAATTATATTAAAGCACAAAATTACAGAGTTAATTGGTAAAATAGAAAAACCATACTATAATACTTAATTTGCAAAATGTTCAATAATTGTCTGGAACTTCATTGTTCTTGCATTTCCATAATAATTGCTTTCTATTCCCGCTCTTGCTTTCTTGATCTTCTCCATCTTCTGCCGCCAGATATTACATTCCTGACTCGCGTCATATACTACTTATATCAATATAAGTGGCGCGCACCACAATTTTACTAACAGTTTGAAGTGAACATTAAAACCTGAAATATTTATTGTTTTCGTTCTCTTTTTTTTAATTTTTCACGTCATTCAAATAATTCTCCTATATGATTCATCCAGATTATTTCTATTCCTTACATTTCAGTATATAAAACATGATAAAATTAAAATTATTCGTTATGAAGGAAATTTATTCTATTTTTGTGCTGAACATTTTCGTGAAACCATTTATTTACAAACAGGAATAAATCCATTTGATATAAATTTAAAAGTGAATTATTGTTTAAATAGAATAAAACAAATTGAAAATACTTTACGTTCAACATCAAAATCTATGGATATTGAAATAGATAAATCAGATGATCATTCAAATGAAATAAAAACTATAGAAGAAACATCTGATCATTTAGAAGCATGTAGGTAAATATGATCTTTATTTTTCTCGGAAATTATTTATTTTTATTCGTTTTAAGTTAAATTAGTTCTTTGCTGATTTATCTTATTTAATAGATATTAATCTTAATTGTAAGAATTCCTTTGAACTCATCCATGAAAAAACCGATAACTAATGATATTTAACAAATTTGATATTATGTTTATTCTGGGATGAGTACTCTAATAATAAAACTTTATATATGATCGTCTCAATCTCTCAAAAATTATGTTTGTTTTCTATGCAACATAAAATGAATTAGTAACTAAAGTAAGAAAAAAAACATTCACCTCAACTGATTCACCTTGAAATTGTTATGTCAACAAACTTCAACGGTTAAATGATACTTTCTCAAAATTAAAAAAAAGTTTGTAAAAGACATTACAAGCAATTCAACTTGGGGGGGGGTTTCTAAAATGAACACAGTGTTACATCCAATGCAATGACATTTTGTAGTGTATGGTTTTTTTTGTACTCAATATGTATGAATATTAAACTCTTTTTTTTGTAGTTTTACTAGTTTGTTTTCGATAGACAGAATCGACAAGTATAAAATTACATAATGAAATTAGTTTTTATTTACTCCAGTATAAATGATAAATTATTTCGCATTAATGCTCTATTTAATACCATATTGATTGATTAAGTCGGTGGTTCAGTTGTCCAGTGTGTAATACTATAACATTCTAAACGATACTGCTTTCAAGTCATACTGTTAGCATTCACAATTTGACGCGTAATAAAACATGTGTCCTGAATTTTTAAAAACAAATCAGTCTTTTTAAAATTTTCAGATTTTATGACAAACATTACCATAAGATCAACACATTATGTGTTTCTTCCAATTGAATTTGATGCATTTATATATTATCAAAAGGGATTTTGTGGATAATTTAGCAATTTCAATAGTTGAACTCATGAATCAATTGAAGCTAGATCACTATGAAAAACCTGAAAGCACAGGATGGCCGTTTCGTTCTATTGTGGGGCTCCTCAGCGGCGCGCATCCACGACTTCGCCACCTGCAGAATTCGAACCCAGGACCTATCAGTCTTATGCGCGAGTGCTTAACCATTTGAACACTGGCCGGCATTCAACGGTATTAATGTCTAACTTCAAATAATCCACGAAATTGGGCGACACACCCACCATTGTCTTCAGTAAGTTACTATCTCACAACAGACGTGGTTGAACTCCGCTGGTCATGGCTTCTCAATAGGACTCCAGGAAATACTTCTTGAAGTCAGTCACTAGTGAGCAGATGATTATAATCAGAAGGGGTTTTGTGGAGATTTTAGTAATTTCTATATTTCTATATTAATAAATTTTCAAGGTTGTTTAATTTTCTATGTTTCCATAGTTCCTTCAAGTTATTTTGAATTAAGTTAATTCCTAGACTTAAATTAATTTTTTTTAAATTATATGTCATATAATGAATATCAATAAGCTGGATGGTCAGTTAGAGTTTAGACATAAAATAAAAAAAATTTTCTATAGTGAAATTTCAGTAAACTAAAACACTTTGATGTTTCTAAATTTCAGTCTACTTTTTATCTTTTTTTGGAATTTTATATTCATCTGGTTTCATGAGAAGCAAACAAATAAATGTCTTAATTAGCATCAATATTTAACAGAATGACTCCTGTATTTGAGAAAAAAAATTGTGTACACTATTGAATTCCTAAAATATTTTATTTAATTTTTTCAGATATTGTATATGTCAATTATAAAAAGGCTTCAATTAGTTATTGATTAGATGATTTTCTGATGAGACTATAATTTATAGACGAGATTTGAGCGATGCTAAAGTGACCTTGAGAGTGGTCGCCTAATAACTAGAACCAAATGGGGTTTATAAATTAGTGTGAAGAATTAGAATTATGATTTTCAGTTGATGGTTAAGGTGAGGAATTACATTTAAGGTTTTCATAACGAACTAACATCAGCTATAATGTCAAAACTCTGTTTAACCAAATGGATGAGTGAATTTCACGCCAAATTTCGAGAACTGTCATCTTATGCCTGAATGGTTCGTCCATAAATTATAGTCTCGCTGACTTTGTTTTTAAAATTTAAATGTTGTTATATAAATGTTTATTAAATAGTTTCTTCATGAGGAAATAAATTATAATAAACATTTAGGAAAAGAAATCATAATCAGTTCTAAGTTTTAATAAATTATCTTCATAGTTAAGATCATCAGAGTTTGCTTTTCTTAAAATTATGAACTGAAACGTAATTCTAATAGTTGAGATCATGAGTTAATTGAAGCTAAACTAGCTTCAAGAGGTATTTCCTGGAGTTCTAGTGAGAAGCGGTGACTAGTGGAGTTCAACCAGGTCTGTTGTGAGATATCAGCTCACTGAAGACAATGGTGGGTGTGTCACTCAGTTTCGTGGATTATTTGATGTTAGACATTAACACCACTAGATGCTGGCTCAGTGGTCTAGTGGTTAAGCCCTAACGCTCGAGATCGATAGGTCCTGGGTTCGCATCTCGCGAGGCGGGATTGTGGATGTGCACCTCTGAGGAGTCTCACATTAGTACGAAACGGCCATCCAGTGCTTTCAGGTTTTCCATAGTGATCTAGCTTCAATTGACTCATTATCTAAACTATTAAAATTACTATAATATCCACAAAAACCTTTCTGAAATGTAACTTTTAGAAATATAATGAGATGATTCATCGTTATATCAGAGTCATTATTTAACCAAGTGCTTATCATTTATTCTATAATGAAATACCCGAAGTCGATCAATAATTTATAAGCAGACTAGTTAATCACAAGTAATTTATCTCATGGTAAAATCATTTTGATTTTAATATGTAGTACCGGACGTCTTCTAGCTTACGTTTTTCACTTGTCTGTACGACTTATTTCATCTCTGTTTATCTGAGTTTTTGAGAATACTTTTCATGTGTTTCTTAAAAAATGTCAATCAATATATTAATCGTAGAACAATTTTAATAGATTCTAATGGTTATTCAATCACACTAATGCTAAGAACCTGCAGGTAAATTTCACAAGCTTGATTGAGCGTATTGTTTAAAAAAAGAAACTATCGGTTTTATCTATTTCAACTTACCTACAAAAGCATCGTAAACACTGAACATGGATTTTATTTTCCTGAAACGATTTATTAAAGCTTCGTTCAATAAATCATTATTTATAATATTTTACTCAACAATTGGATGAAATTATATGTAGTTCAACAAATATTCTACCACCATTCTGAATACGATAATCCGACACACAAAATAGCAATCATAATGCATATTAACTTATTTGCATGCTCTTTTTCACCTTTTTAAGTGAACATATATCTAATCTAAGAGTTTGATTTTAAGCGCAATTTTTGAGGCCCATTCTCATCAGTTAGGAAAAAATTTATTCTAAGGACATTTTTACAGATAGTTAAACATCTCATGTGGATATTTTATTACCGAATTTCAGATATAAACATTAAAACAAAGATGTGCGTTCCGTCCTATTCGAGACTTGTCAGCTGGATGCACCTGGTTATCAAAACTCAGTAGCTAAGTGAATAATGCGATGGCGTTTGAAGCGAACTGTACTAGGTTTGAGTCTTAGAGTGAACATCATCTCTGAGATGCAGGTATATCCAGCCGACGAGTCCCAAATTGGACGAAATGCGCGTCAAACTGGATTCCACTGCTACCCACTATCCATCATTGCTTAAAAAGCTTGTGAATTGAGGCTATATCAATGCGATCCACACAGTATGCACATATACCAATAAAAGACTGATCAATTGCATTCTTGAATAACAATGGGAATATACAAGTAAAACAGCACCCAGTGAATATAAACACTATAGAATAGGAAAAATGAATTTATATATTACTCAGTTTTTTTCCTTTAGTTGATTTACGCCTAATTTAATGTTTTAAAAATAGTATCGATTAAATTAAAAAGGAATGACTGAATCATTGAATGTATAATAGACATTAACATGGGAATCTTTATATCAGATTATTAAGCTTTTTTCGGAATACATAAAGAATCGCGTGTCAATAGACCCTTGTTTATACTTATTTCTTACTTACGCTTAAGCCGATGGGATTATTTGTCTATTAAAACTTCTATCTACTCCTTGATAAATAAGTATTTAATTATATGCAAAAATGGATAGTGTCTAGCAGTGGAATCCAGTTCGTCCTATTTGGGACACGTCGGCTGGATGTACCTGCATATCAGATTTGATGTTCACTCTAAGACTCAAACGTAGTACCGTTCGCTTCAAACGCCATCGCTTTATCCACTTAGCTACTGAATTATGATGGCCACTTGCTTGTACAGTGAGGTGAAGCTTAACTTCACTTAGTATTGTTTGTTTAAATCTTCTCTTTAATGTTTAGGACTGCAATTGATCAGTCTCATGTTGGCATATGTGCATACTGCCCTGATAAAACCTTAATTCACGAGTATTATATGCAAAGATGGATAGTGTCTAGCAGTGGAATTCAAGACGCATGTTTTGTCCTATTTGAGACTCGTCAGCTTGATGTACTTGAATCTCAAATTTGATGTTCACTCTGAGACTCGAGGCAATACGCACAGTGTGCACATATTCCAATAAAAGACTAATCAATTTCAGTCCTAAACAATAATGGAAAGACTCAAACAGACAATACCAAGTGAATTTAAGTATTTAATTGTTTTAGAACAACATATATAAGCGAACAATATTGTTTTCGATTAGATCCTCATCAGGCTTTACTCTAATATACAGTAATATTTACATGCATATACGAAAATATTAAACCAGTCAAGGTAGTTTATGAGTTAATGATAACAATGAAAAAGATTACATAATAAGTGAAAAGTACAAATTGGTAGTGTGATAACAGGTGCATTAGTTTTTGATAAGAATAATAAAGGCTCAAATCAATGTTGCATAATCGGAAATAGGTCAGTGATTAGAAAAATATAGACGGTGAGATAACAATTATAAAATTATAAGATGACGTAATAAGAAGTGGTCAGATAATTGGACCGTGAAACGTATATTTGAGAGAGAATAAAATGGTAGCAGGGGATGAAGAAAAATAATAAACGAAGAGAAAGTTTGAAAAATAATAAATAAATTCATTTATTAAGGCCAAGGGAGAGATAGGGGTGTTACAAATTTCTTCTGAACATAAAGACTTGGCTTGTTGGCTCGAATTCCTATAGCTTCTGCTATGTGTAAGAGACGAGATCAAACACCATAAAGAAAACTAGTAGGAATACGATAAATAATTTGGAATGACTTGTTTCTGTCCACTACATAACCGCTATCGATGAAGTGTGATAGAACCGAGCTGCATATTGTCATGACTTTACCTTTTCCTAACCACGAAGGGCGGTGTTCACTAACTCTTTGGTTCAGTTGTCTGTTATCACACTACTAATTTGTACTTTTCACTCTTTACTTATTATGTAATTTTTCTCATTGTTATCATTAACTCATAAACTACCTTGATTGGTTTAATAATTTCATATATGTATACAAATATTCATGTATATTAGAGTAAAGCCTGATGAAGATCTAATCGAAAACAATATTATTCGCTTATATCTATGTTGTTCTACATTTACAAGATGGCAATATTTCAAATTTAATTGTTTGTATTTTCATAAGTTTTTTTGCAATATTTCATGTATAGTAATTAATTTTTTTTATTTTTTAATTATTTATTTTATTTTTTTTCAAAAGCTAATGAAAATCAACAAAAATCTAATTTAAAGAAAAAATCATTTAAAAGAAAAATGTTTCATTATTTTATAAAAAAAAGAAAATTATTAACATTAAATGAAAAATCAAAATTAGAAATGGAAAGAATAAAACAAATAGAAAAATTAGAAATTATTAATCATTTATTAACATTTAATTATTTAATATTAGATTGTTCATGTTGGACATTTATTGATATAGTTGGAGCAGATGAATTAAAACAGGTAAATTTTAAATTATTTATTAATAAATTTAATTATAATAATATATATATATATATATTGTGAACTGTTAGGCGGTTATTCTAATTTCTACCGACTGACCAACTTCAGATATCCCAGTACGACCTCAATATTGTTCCCCAAGCTCCAATATATCAGAACACGAACCGTTAGCAGAAAATTGTTTATGGGGTGAGGAGAGGAATAAGAATAAGAATGATACTTTACAGACAAATGCATATTTATACAGTTAGGACTATTGTGAATATTGACCAGTAGGGAAACGACACGTGAAACAAATATTGACCAATAGGAAAATGACACCATTTCACGTTCAAGGATAGCATTAGACTTAACAGGATTATTTTTGGGATATTTTTCTGAATATCCCAACAATATATTATTAAATTTTTAAATTACAACAGAATCTAAAACGAGATATTTTATTATTATACTGATACTGAATGAAAATAATACATGTTTAGAATGTAAAATTATTGGAGATTTTTTAATAAATTCCTTATAAAGATTGTGAAACTTAATTAGCCATATATGTATAGACGTATATTTCAGTTTGTGATTATCAAGGATATAAGCTATTATAAATAATTATGCTCCTGACGCCAGCCCCCTTTCTATATCTCGAAATGCTTTCACATAGCCACGTGCATATAACTACTATCAGGAAAGTCCTAGTCACTGCCTTCTCGTGGTGAGGGTATTGTTTACGGAATTGAGAGGACAAAAAGCGAATGTTCGGCGCTTTAACCAGGTTGGTGGTTACGGAGAATTTATCTAGAGGAGCTGGAAAACCCTTATTCCTTACCAATGGTGTACATGAAATTCAGGATCCTTAGGAAACAAATAGCGTATGAACAAGTAGTTAGTCGCTGGCTACCATGGAATTGCATTTCCTAGGTTGCTCCACTGCCTTGTGGATTAGACCTTTAGGTCAAATGCTCCGGGTATGACCCCCTGAGAAAACTACCTGTTTCGGTTTGAGCAACCGGACAGTATCCCAGCCCTCATATAAATTGAATGATCTGTGTGGCACATATTTAATCGGTGCCTCCTTGTACCAATATTTATGTTTTTAAATAAATAAATAAAATAATTATGGTATAAGTGGACAAATTTTAACATTACCCAAGTTTTAGTGCATCAATTCGAATAATGTAATGAACATTCAGTCATAAAAATAATCAAGTTAATTTCATCACCCATATTTCTAACTGTATTATTCATTGTCATAGTGAAAACTTTTAAAGATCTACTTATGACTTAACGTTAAATTCGTTCATACTTACAACGACATCGTAGTAGTAATGATGCAAATCTGAGAGATGATTCACATGAGAACAAATAGATTTATAAACCATTATAAAGAAAAAATGGACCGTTAAATGTTTACTATGTAACTTCGTAGTTAGTAGTACTCATTGTCTAATAGTATTACTGACCTCTTTGATATGACCCGAGAAGCATAGGATCTTATTCATCAAAATGAATACATACTCATAACAGTACTATAAAAACGTCAACTGTTTATATTTACTGTATATTTAGGTGATAGATAGCTATGAAAAACTGGGTATCATCGTTCTGCTCGCTCAGATGAAAGGTATGTTACTGATATCAATATATATATACAAGTTGGTCGTAAACTTATGAACGTTTTTTTTGTTTCATTGTTTGGATTATTGTGTATAAATAAGTTGTAATTTAAGAGAGAGAAAAAGGTTAACTCACAAAAAATTATTTTTTTACATTTTATTGAAAAACATTCTAAATGTTCAGTCAGTTAACTAAGATTTCGTTCATTGTTTAGTTTACTGATGTTTTTCAAATCACCGACAATTAACCACATGTTTGAATCGATCACCTATCCAATATTTCACTTAAATCAAGAAAAAATCTTTTGAAATATTTAACATTGAATCATGACGTTAACAACATATAATGAACAAATTTAATTAAAATAAACAGGAAATGTTATCTTCCCTTATGTAAATTTAAATTCAAAGAACTGAGTGAATTTAAAGAATACACTGAATTTTGAATATAGTTTTCGTGTTTACATCACACAGTACCCTAACTTGATCAAATTATAAAACATTTATCATCTCTGCTAAGGTACATTTTAAACAATGACTTTACTAAGAGTTCATTACTAATTAATTAAGTTGACCAACAGAGTTTTGCTTTCTTCAACTTCAGTCCAATCCTGAAGGGGTGGTCGACAGTGTCAATAGACGCTCTTTTATACTTATTTCATACTTACATCTATGCTAAGGGGTTGATTGTCCTCTTAAACTTCCATCTATTCTTTTAGAATCAAATATTTAACCATCATTGCTTTTTCATCGAATGAGGTGGATTGTAGCAATTTCTGTATTCGAAAGACTGAATTATATGTTAGCAGCTATTTACTGACGTAAAAATGCTAACTGAAAATTGCAGGAAGTTGCAAACTGATGAATATTTTGAAATATAGACCAATAAATCTTAATGCTAAATAGTATTTTGCTCAAAACATGGAAGCCTCAAGGATCACTTTACAAGTCGTTACTAGTATTTGCTCTTTGGGAATTATGAGTAAAAGGTACATACGTTCTCCGAATCTTTGCCTACGTAACCATATTCTTATTTCCAAAACAAACTGTGTACATCCTACAATTAAACAAATAATGGTCACCGAGTTTGTTAGTGATGATTTAAATACCTCTTTTAACCCGTCATTTTCACTCAAAGGAAAAAATAATTTCTTCTAAGAATTTATGGTAAATTGCTTTTTACGTAATTTTAACAGAACTAAGATTACTAATCCTGATAGTATTAAACACTAGCATTAAATGTGCTACGCAATCATTCATGTTTATCAGTGAACCCATTAAATCAAATCCTCTGGTCAACTGTGTCTGTCGTGAGGCAGTTACCCATTGAAGACAATGATGGACGGTCGTGCAGTACCATGGATTGGTTGAAGTTAAACATTAACACCATTGGATGTCAGCTCAATGTTTACGCGCAAGATCGAATGTTCTGAGTTTGAGTCCCGATTGAAAGACCGTGTTTGAGCACTGCTGAGGAGTCCGATACTAGGATATTAACGGCTGTCCAGTGCTTTCGTGTTTTCTATGGTAGTCTAGCTTAAATCGACTCATGAATCGAACTATTAACTTACTACCACCTCCACAAAACCCCATTCTGATGAAAATATATTTACGGTAGTCTGGACTAAAATACTATACAATCACATTAAATTCGATTATTCGATGTTGTTACCCTGAAGAGGTCTAACTAGATTGCTGGACGAAACGCCTGTATTATTTAAATTCCAGTCGTTAAGATTACTACAAATATATTATTTACAAATAATATCATCTAAATACTCGACTAACGATTTCTGCCAAATCATTCTCTCAGAAATCGACGAATATTCCAACAGAAAATTCATGTTATATTTTGTTTAAATATTTACAACTTTATAAGATCTCTTTTACTTTAATATTATTTCATATAAATATTCCTTACAGAGTGCATAAATGACCTATTCTTATATTTTTTTCTCATTTTAGATTACCTTATCCATACTTTACAAAATAATGATAAATTAGGAGATTTAACTAAAATTTACCCAACTGTTCATGATGCAGTAAATGATGCAATTATTCAATTGAATACAATGAAAGTTAAAGAAAGAAATTTCCTGCAACTGAATGAAGAAACTTTAACATCGTAAACAAAAAAGATTTTTCAACAAATATATCGACTTAGCAACTGTCAACAGGAATAAATAAAAAAGACTAATCAATTTCCAATTAATTTATCAAACATTTTATTGAACTATTGAAAGAAAGAAAAAAACAATAATAAACTGCTATCACATTTATTTACAAAACAAATTTCTTAATTATTAATTAATCTATTTTTGTAACTAAATGTTATTACATTTTGTGCATAAAAATAATTTGCAATGATCAAATTAGATTTATTTATGTGATGAAATATTTTTTTATCTTTCTATTACAATCTAACATAAATTACAGCAAGAAAAAAAACAAAAAAACATTTCAATGCAAACAGATTGAAATTAAAACAAAGATGGATAGTGGCTAGCAGTGGAACCAGGACGCGTGTCTCGTCGTATTTGGGACTCGTCAGTTGTATGTACCCTGTATCTCAGGGTTGATGTTCACTTTGAGACTCGAACCTAGTACCATTCTCTCGAAACGCCATCGCGTTATCCATTTAGCTACTGAGTCTTGATAGCCACTTGCTTGTGCAATGGGGTGAATTTAAACTTACTTGGTATGGCATTTGAAGCGAATTGTACTGGGTTTGAGTCCCAGAGTGAATATCAACTCTGAGATGCAGGTATATCCAGCCGACGAGTCCCAAATAGGATGAAACACACGTCAAACTGGATTCCACTGCTAACCGCTTTCTATCCTTGCTTAAAAAGATTGTGACTTGAGGCTACATCGATGCAATCCGCACAGGATGCACATGTGCCAACATGAGACTGATCAATTGCAGTTCTAAATAACAATGGGAATATACAAGTAAAACAGCACCAAAAGAATAAGAACTAAAGTTTAAATTCGAAACGAAACCTACAGAATGTGATTTAATTTTACTAAATAGTAACTTTAAAAGAGTAAACTATCTCTTAATTTTGTACAGTATTAGTAGAAGCAATAAGTTTTTCATTCGATATAAAAAGTTAGAACGTTTTACCTATATATGCATTTCTTTTTATCCGTATGGGTTAATCATAAACCTGTCGATCCAAGCATAAATACTTTCTTTAATTATAAAATCTGGTTTTGAATTCACATTCACACTGGAATAAAAACGATGAATACATTCCCTCTTCTTATATTGAATCAAGTCGAATAAAATGAATTGTGAGAACTAACTTAATCCATTTAACTATTAACAACTGAAAGATAGTGAGACTATCGTAAATAAAAACTGACCTTTGATTGATTCTGGTTTGATGTGTTACGTAACAAACAAACTGGAAATAGCTGGATGCAATTAGATATACTTCCAGCAAAAGTGATAGCATGACAGAAATACTCAACAGTGATTTATAAGATTATGTAATAACCTAAAATATTGTACGACCATATTAATTTTTGTGTAAATCATTTTTGATTTCTGCCAAATAACAAACAAAATCTTAGGCTATAACACATGATAATGCTTATGAATAAGCAACTAACGAATTTTAAAATTGGATTGAGAAAAAGTCATCTTATGAACTATTCTGAATAAAATGCACATTTAAACTTTTTAACAGAAACGTGCATAGACCTATTCTTACAAAACTAAATACTCTATTGTCTAAGCTTATAAAAAGGTCATTACAACAAATAGTTATTCCTTTGAGTCCAGTCTGAACCATTTATTCGCTAAGTGTTATTAAACAACAGATTTATACTACTTCAAAAGTTACTTTAACGAGATATTACGTAGTTAATGCTCGTGAATATGTAGTTGATAAATCACAGTTTGAAGACAAGATCGATTTGTTTTAAACACAAATTTGATGTATCCTTATGTTAACTGATGAACTTAGTTGATATTGATAATAATAAAATCTGATTAGATAAAAAAGTGTTCATTTTTTCGAGTCACTAATTGGGATGAACAACTTTAGAGCCTAATAATAATACTTCGTTCACACAATTTTTTAATTATGATGAACAATTTTCAGTTACAAATATTGTATTAGACAAAATGAATAAACTGCATCCGTAACAATTTAAATAATTTGACATGCTTGTCTCAATTCTCACATGTTAAATAACCTTGACTCCATCCTAAGAAAAACATTTCCATTATTGTCTGAATATTGTATTTGAAGGACAATGGCATGCCGACAAATTTTACATCGATTGCCAAGCAAATCAGAAACTTGAGCTAATCTTGCCCTTTTATACAGTAATTTTCATGGAACCGACTATAAATATATTCCATGGATGACCATACACCATAATCAATTCACAGTTTTATTTATGAGAACAAGATTATTTTAGTGACACAGAAACCTGAAGATCATAATAAAATCTTAGCGATCTTATCACTGCATACAGCTCAAAATAACCCATGTTAGAAATTTTGAACAAGCCTACGTTTTCCTGACAAATCGAGCATGGAAAGAAAAAAGATGTATATTAACGAAAGAAAACTCTGTCTTAGACTTAATTTTATTTGACGAAAGTTTTGCCTAAATACAAGTAGGCACCTCACCACAATTTATGTTATCCTCTCTATCAGAAATCTCGATTTCAACCAAAATTAAGTTCAATTACATAAAAATAACAAACGGAAAAGCACTATGTAAGGTAATTTTGGTCAAAATATCTTTTCTGTATCAATCAATGATAGTATAAAGTAGACAATATTGAACATGGGAACAAATCATGAATTTTTATTGTTCTGATCAGTGATATATAATAAGTTTAACAATCACAAAATAAGCTATTGAAAACAAAACGAATAAAAATAATGATAGACTAGATTATTTTCTGTAGACATCATTATAGTACACAAATGTTATTACCGATAACGGAAGCATAATATTAGGAAAATAATATATTTATCTGAAAACTTTCCATACTATATATGTTGTTCTAAAATATTTATCACCAATCCTCCAAAAATGGACGAATATAAATAAGTTCTGAAAATATTATTAGCATAAGATCATGAAGAGGTAATTACAAAACACAGTTATGCTATATAACGAATGTTATGAATTTATAACCACCGAGTTACCAGAAATAAGCACGAAACTCTTAGCAATAATAATGGAAACCTGAGAAATTCGATCAGTTCTTGAAATTTGTATCCTAATAAATACCAAATTTAGCTCCAAACTCTCTTCGAGATTGAGTAAGCGATGTTTTTACAGGAAATAATTCACATGTCTGTTTTGAAGTGATTAATTTGTTTAAACGACAATTAAGAGCAAAGGAATATGCTGCTTCTTGCCAAGGTAACTTTTTCGGTACATTTCTTGAAACTGACGTATAACAAGATGAAGTATCTGTGTCATTCAGAGAAATTGCTTCATGAGACACTACAACTGATGATTGTGTAGGTGTAATTTTTGACTCTTTTAAATTATACATATTGTTGGCCTCCTTTAATCGATTATATTCTTTAATCATATTCATTAAAATTAATTCATTTATAGTTTTTTTCGAATAAATTATATTGGTATCATAAATATTTTTATTATATATTAAAGAATTTGTAGAGTTTACATCATAATCGATATGATCAGTATGATTGTTCGATGTAGTATGACCATTCAATGTTCCATCTGAGTACGAATACTTAAAAAGTATGATAAAATGAAGTAAAAACAGAAGATTTAACTTGTTTTGTTTCCAAATGAACGAAAATATTTAAACTATATAAAGATAATTATTCATGATTAATATCACTTAATTGAAAACCACTACCAGTTACCAATATGAAACATCAAAGCCTTAGTCGAATAACAATATAAAAGTATTTCAATCAATCTTTCTCAGTGAAATAATACTATCACTACATAAGATTACAAAAATAATAGATAATAATTACATCAGATATGGTATACTTTCTAACTCCGTATATTCCAGTAAATAATATTATGATTAAACCGGGTTTGATTAAATCACAACACATTCATAGAACAATGAACGTATTATAAAAGTAACGACCCAAGACGTTGAAAACTAAAGTTTAAAATTTTGACGAGTTAGGTATTTAGTTAGAGAACCTGCAATATAGATCATAGTTTATTATAATAACGGATGTAGCGTAGGTCTCTCATTTCGCCTTTGGCTTATATCAAATATTAGATAACGTCATAATCATCACCACTGTGGTTAGCATTCATTGAAAACTAATCATCTGAATAAATATAAGCTTATTTACCAAAAGAATGAGAACATTTATTCCATGACTTATCCAGTATTCGGGAATTTCATAGAGCCTCAGTAAGATTGGTTGCGTGTTAAATAAAATCCATGACCAATTAAAAGTAGAAAGACTTTATTGTCACAAAAATTCAATGAAACCATCTTCCTCTAGAACCTGAGTCCGAAATCATTTTATACCTTGATTTTTCTTTTTCTGTGTTAATTTCTTCGACAACATATGCCCTGGAATTTTCCTTAAAATCATTTTGTCTCTGTGCCAAAGTAGTAAGGCAACTTGAACCGATGCACATATTTTTTAAATCCTTCGTTGTGTAGGAATGACTGACTAACGAACCTCAGCAGAAAAGTGACAACTACCACAGAATATTCTTCACAGCAAGTAAACATAGTCCTTTTTTGCTACTTTTATAAACTTAAGGTCAAAATATATCTCAAAAATAATTTCTTTATGGAATGGCTTCTGACGATAAGCAACTCTAAATAGCACGCACTATCAACAAAAGAGACAAGACTATATGTGATGAAAAAAAGTGTCACATTTATCTTAAGTTAGTGCTTCATTAACAGTATGATGCCAGCTGGATGCATTATTTCCTTCAACTTATCTTTGAGGAACAACGATGAAGAATTTTCAACTAATCGAATCCAAGCTTGTTGTCAAACTACTCTGATTGTAATATTTTACAAAATCCTACCCAGATATCCGGTAGAAATTATAAAGTCCAATGAATTACCTATTATTAACTTTGCGATACCTTTCAGATTTGGTGGACGTAATAAAATGATGCCTTATATTCTAGGTCAAAAAAAATGCATTACATCAAACTGGTTAATGCTCATCAATAATACATATCAATAAACAAATATAATCGAACCTACCGATTAAAACTGTTGTCAACATATTGAAAAGTAAGGTTAACTAATTGCAAAATATTAATAATCAATTAGCTAGAGATTATTGATAACGTATATTTTATAAAATATACCTTGTAAATTATAACCACACAAGCCAT